CATACACCAAAGGCACCATATAAGACCTTTAGGTAAACAGTAATATACTAAAAGGGTGCAGCGCTGGTAAAAATCACAAATATAATGTATATATGCTAAATTCATATATAGATAATTAATCATCAATAAGGTGATATTGTGCAAATTCATATTCATAAATTTACACAGCTCTGCCAGATAGCAGTGCCAGACTACTGACCTGACTTACAGTATCTCTTTTGCAGTTAAGAAATGAAGCCTGGTCACCTCCTGCCCCTAGCTGTGATTGGACAGTGAAGGAGAAGCAGAAAAGCTCATTATTCAGCTTTCTACTTTTCTCCTGTTCTCGCCATCACACCTGATTGGCCTTTAATGCTGCCCCTCCCTCTCCCAGGCTGCGTACATGTTATTACAGGAGGCTTATCTCAAGTCAAATTTAGGACTTTACACTAGCTTCTTTAAAAAATACATTGAATTTTTTAATGAATATTTGGAGATCAGTTTCATTTACTGTTGCACAATTCATATGCAACTAGAATCTGTGACTAATATTGCAAAAAAAAAAAAATAAATTTTGAGCATACCAAAAGGTGACAGTGTGGTTGAAATCACAGATGGACGCATAGACGTCCACATATTAATGAGCCATGTATATAAATAGATAAGTAAGGTGACATTGAGCAAGCATGTATGCCACTATATTATGTGGCTAATATCGTGAAAGATCTATAACCAATCTAAATGAGTCCAAAAAATGTGAACAGGATCGCTGATGATCTTCAGGCGTCCAATAACCGGAAACGTGAAAAAGGTGAGAAAATAAGGTAAAGACTGCGCACTCACCAGATACGCAATCTTTATGCGCATTTGTATATCATAAAAACGCATCAGACGCCCTCACATAGGTCTGGTCAGATCTGGTCATGTAGCCTCCACTGCTTCATAATCCATACTCCAATAGCATACGCTCTGCAATCATGATGAGCTCCCACAGGGGCTCAAAAAACAGAGGAAGCCAATAGTGTAGTATGTCAAGGATATTTATTCCAAAGTTCAGGCAGATGGGTATAAAAGAGTAATACTGACCAAAACAGGATGGCCGCCAGGACTGCTTGTGGTGCCGGCGGTTGTAGCGTCAATCAGCTGTAGCTATACTCTGACGCATTTCAAGCTATGGCTCGTAGTCATAGGGATTCAGCTTTTTTCAGTTTTTTTTTGTTTTGCAATATTAGTCACAGATTCTAGTTGCATATGAATTTGCACAATCTCACCTTATTGATGATTAATTATCTATATATGAATTTAGCATATATACATTATATTTGTGATTTTTACCAGCGCTGCACCCTTTTAGTATGTTACATTTTTTCATTGTGCATAGCTGTAGACTAGACAAAGGGGAGGCTAGCAACCTACCCAGCCAGGAAGTAGGCAGGTGTGTACAGCAGCTTCCACGCATCACTTTGCGAAGGAGAAGAGTGGAGTACGTTGTGGCTTAGGATGGCGGCATCCTTAGTACCTGCCTGGGACTAACCTTTGCCAACATCCTGCTGATCCATTTGAATGCTCACTGCTGGCCATGGTGCCATTATCACTAATATCGTTTCACTTGCATGGCCGGTGTGTTGTGATATTTACCTGTGAGTTCATATGAAAGTTCAACATTTAACAGGTTTTTTTTAATTAAATACATTTAGGATATTACTTTAGGTCAGTGCATTTTCCCATGATCATAGAAGGACATAATGTAATTGCATGGCTCCCAGAACTTTGGAGTCTAACGGTGTAGATCAGCTCTTCACGTAGGCCAAACAAGATGCTGTATGAAACTGTATTTTTTTAGATTATGTAGCACAGATTAAATGTGAATATTCTTATTTAACCACTTGCCCTCCTGAGGATTTGCCCCCTTCCTGACCAGGCCATTTTTTTGTGTTACGGTGCTGCGTTAACAATGATTGCGCAATCATGCAACGCTGGCACCAAATTAAATTTACATCCTTTTTTTCCCACAAATTTAGCTTTCTTTCGGTGGTACTTGATCGCCTGTGCGTTTTTTATTTTTTACGCTATAAAAAAAAAAGTCTGACAATTTTTAGAAACAAATAATATTTTTTACTTTTTGCTATTAAGCAGGAAAGTAAAAAAATAAAAAAAAAAATCAAATTTTGTCATAAATTTAATATAGTGATCAGTGCTAAAAAAAAGTACTGACACTGTGTTTATGGCACTGGGCAGGAAGGGGTTAATATGAGGGGGTGATCAAAGGGTTAACTGTGTGCTGGGAGTGTTTTACTAGGGGGCGGTGTCAGTGTGCTTCACTGTAATCACACTGCTTTGGATGTGCACAGCCATCCAAAGCAGTGTGCCCGAGCTGACGGAGGAGAACTGTTGGTAAACAAAACAGTTCTCCTCCCCGTTGGAGATCCATGGAAATCACCGGGTGCTGGCGTGTAATCACCGTCCGGGACCCGATGATTGACAGCTGCGGTCGCGAATGGCGGCATGGGTAGGGCGCGCATGTGGCTCACATGCGCCCCCTACCCGGAGATGCAAAATCATGTATATATACGTGATTTTTCGCACCCATGACACCCTGTAGCAGTATTTCTGCTATAGGGTGGTCAGGAAGCGGTTAAAGTTGATCTTTAGGCAAACAATATTTGAAATGAGTGTTTTCACTGCCAAAGGATTTTCAATTCTGCTGAAGTAGTCCTGAAATTTACACAGCTCTGCCAGATAGCAGTGCCAGACTACTGACCTGACTTACAGTATCTCTTTTGCAGTTAAGAAATGAAGCCTGGTCACCTCCTGCCCCTAGCTGTGATTGGACAGTGAAGGAGAAGCAGAAAAGCTCATTATTCAGCTTTCTACTTTTCTCCTGTTCTCGCCATCACACCTGATTGGCCTTTAATGCTGCCCCTCCCTCTCCCAGGCTGCCGTACATGTTATTACAGGAGGCTTATCTCAAGTCAAATTTAGGACTTTACACTAGCTTCTTTAAAAAATACATTGAATTTTTTAATGAATATTTGGAGATCAGTTTCATTTACTGTTGCACTATGCAAAAAAAAACCCCAAAACAACAAAAAAAATTATATTTTAATTCTATTACCAGTTTCGACCCCATTGAAGCTTTTTCTTAGGCAGCTATCAATTGTTGCCTTAGACCATCTTCCTGCACTCAGCAGCATTCCTCTTGGCTCTACATTCCCGCTTCCTTTCTTTCATATTACCCGTTTGCGCATCCCTTTTGCAGCCACCCTCTTTTACGCTTCTCATCTATACATAGCACCCCCTCCCATTCTGTACTATATACAGCTGCGTCTGTCTACCCAACCATTGCATGTCTGCTCTCACCACCACATCTTCTCATCTTCCTCGTTGGGTACGTGACGCGGAATCTCGCTACAAATCTTTGGTGCGACATGGACAGGAACTCTAGTAAACTGGGCCGCTCAGAGAGCCTACGAGTTTACGAGCGCAAGCGTTCCCAGCGGGGCTCGGCCAAAGGCAAGCAGGCGCGGTCTCGCAGTGACGTGGATCTGGAGGCTGCAGCCCGAGCTAACGACATGCAGCTCTCTTCAAGCAAATCCAGCTCTAAACCAGGCAACTTCACGTAGGTTTGGAGGACAATGTGCCTCAACATGTGGAATGACTCTCCTGTTTATTTCTAATGGCATTCCCAACGCTACTTGTCCCAACAATAATGTTTTTGCATGATTTCTAGTGTACCTGTTGCTTATACACTGCTAGTGTGGACATTTTTATAGTAGCAAGATTTCAAAGCTGTTTCATGCAATGTCAGCATCATCCAACGTTTATGGTAAAATGTAATTAAACTCTGAAATCGCTGCCTGCAGGTTGTATGAGTGACAGGTACCCTTTTAAGGGATGTCTTGACCCAGAGATGCTTGTCCTTCTTTGTGGCTTTGGCCCCAGTAGTCAGATGACCATTTTGTTGGAATCCCAATTGTCATTTTGATATATTTTATGACTCCTAATTCTGTGGTCCTAATGTACAAATGGTGCCCTCTGGTCTAGACTATTTTCTTTTCCCTCAGCAAACTGCAATGATGTCAGGTAGGTATGAGATGTTCCACTCTCTATGTTGTGCATGAGCTATCTGGGTATATACAGCACCTGCAAATATATTCAGAGGTTGCTCACCATTCTTTACCAAAATGGTTGCATGTTTCAGAACGCAGATGTGTTTAATAAGGTTGAAAGCAGTAAGCTGTAGTAACAAATCAGATTTAGTGGTGTCCATCTGGTCAAGACGTGGGGTGGACGGGCGGACAGACGGCGCGGGGGGTGGACGGGCGGGGCGGACAGACGGCGCGGGGTGGACGGGCGGACGGACGGCGCGGGGTGGACGGGCGGACAGACGGCGCGGGGTGGACGGGCGGACAGACGGGCGGACAGACGTGGGATGGACGGGCGGACAGACGACGTGGGATGGACGGGGCGGACAGTGAGATGCGTAGACAAAGATATTTGAGATGGGTAGACAGATATGCATTTGAGGTGAGTAGACCACACACAAACACATAGGATATAGGTAGACAGACAGACAGACATAAGACATGGTTAGACTGCCACACAGACATATGGAGGTGGGTAGACAGACAGGCATATGAGATGGGCAGGCAGCCGGACAGACATGCGAAATGGATGGACAAACAGATAATCTAGATGGGTCGACGGACGGACATTTGAGATGGCTCGACAAACGGACATGTGTGTCGGGTCGACGGACCCGACGTTTAGGTTGGGTGGACGGACAGACTGGAGATGGGTTGACAGTAAGACATGAAACAGAGAAGGAAGGACATATGAGATGATCAAGCAGACATATATGATGGATGGGGACACATACTTGTGTGCTGGGTAGACACAGATACCATAAACTAAAAAATAATTAAAAGATATGTAGATGGCTTAGGAGGTTGGGAAAGATTTGTTGCTGTGTTTGTTTGCACTGGTCCCACTTTTGTAACAATAAAACATCTCTATTCCAGTCCTGAGCCTGGAGGGAGTGCGGAGGGTCCGCCGTCCTTTCTGCTTCCCCAGTCTGAGGAGACTGAGCCGCGCGTTTTGGAGAGCGAGAATGACCCCCCAAACTGGAGGGATCTCGTCCCCCCTGAAACACTCCTCAGGCTGACGAAAAGCGAAATCAAGCGGCAAGAGGTCATCAATGGTACGATACACTGCCATCTTATATTTTTTTCCAGCTGGTTCACATCTTAAGTACATTGGTGCAAAGCCATACACACTCCTACCATAGAGGGAACCCATACACTTCATCAAGATTGGTTAGTTATCTCATCTGGGGAGTGTCTCTTCAGAATGTCTCTGGAACTCTATTTAGATGGAGATGGTGTGTTCTACAGAATAATTAGTGAAACCATCAATATATTTTACATTTTATCAGCAAGATTTTCTGCACAGGATTGCAAGTGATTCAAATGTCTATAACGCTACCAGTACTGTTGCCCATAGGGGCAAGCTAGTTATGCCATGAGCTATATAAATGAGTCTTCAGATATATAGGTTCTAGTTGGAGTTCTTGGAATATGGCTGGAAATGTACTGGACGATTTTGCACCCTCCTGATCTTCTTTTCCCTTGTCTTCTGCAGAACTGTTATTCACGGAGCATGCTCATGTCCGGATGCTGCGTGTCCTGCATGACATCTTCTACCTTCCCATGCAGAATACATGGATACCCAACATGGAGCTGGAGAACATCTTCCCCAGTCTGGATGACCTCATAGAGGCTCATGGTGAGAATGTCAACCCCCACACCCTCTTCTGTATCTCTCCCATTCCCTTTTGCTCATTGTGTTCTGTATCCATTGTACTAGCCTTGTTCCTGGAAAACTTGAAAAAGCTGCGTCTGGAGAACAATTCCATAATCCAGGAGATTGGGAACACGTTCCTACAGCGGGTGAGTAGAGGGACTTCCTAATGTATGATTGCCCATCCACATCAGTATGTTGTAGTTGTCATTGATGTGGAGGTGAAGAACAGAGGGGTTGATTTAGCCAACCTGGAGAATGCAAAATCTGGTGCAGCTTTGCATAGAAACCAATCTGCTTCCAGGTTTTTTTTTTTTTTGCAAAGCTTAATTGAACAAGCTGTAAATTAAAAGTTGATTGGTCTCTATGCAGAGCTGCACCAGATTTTGCACTCTGGTTTTAGTAAATCAAGCCCACAGCGTGAATCCCACTGCAAATGAACACAGTAAATATGCAATCAGATAGACATTACATCAAGTGCCTCCATTCTTACAGTATGACAGTACCTCTTACAGGTGTACCCCGGTTTACGAATTTAACCCCCTCTCGCCGGTGCCTCCTGGCCCTTTCAGATGCTGGGAGGCGGGGCGGGTGGGGCATGGTTTAAGGATCATGTGACCGCCGTCACAGCGGTCACATGATCGGGAAAGGTCTCGATCGACAGAACAGACCGGGACCTTTCCGTGAGTACCGGACGTGTGCTGGGAGCGCGCAGAGGCGCGCGCTCTCAGCACACATGTTTTTTCTTACATGAACACAAATGTGCGGGCCGCTCGGCATCTAGGTCCAGACGCCGGGAGGCCGCACATTTGTGTGCGGCCGGTGTAAAGGGGTTAATTTGTTCTGCAGGACTTTTCGTATTGCGAAAAATTCGTAAAACTGAAACACGGTTCCACATAGGAATGCATTGAAAACCTATGAATCTGTTCTGGAGGTCAGAAAAATTAAAAAAAAAAATATATATATATATTTTATCTGTACAAAACTCTTTATAAAGTGCACTTTAAAGGCATAGTACTGTACAGGGACATGATTAAAAAAAAAAATTTGGAAATGTATTGAAAACCAATTAATCCGTCCGTATTGCAAAAAAAATGAGTAAACCTAGTCATTAATTCATAAGCCGAGGCATTATTTTCAATGGATTTTCATTTGTAAACCGAAAATTACATTAACCGAGGCATTTGTAAACCGAGGTACGTCTGCAATATGTATGCATGTGTGTGTGTATGTACAGTATATATATGTTAGGTTCAATGCACTCAGTAATCAGCACCAAGTAACAGACCTGATTAGATACTCTCTCTCTCTCTCTCTCTCTCTCTCTCTGCAAAGCAGGGAGAAGAAACAGAGATATTTAGTAAAAAAAGCAACACAAATTAACACTTGATTAACCCCTTGATTGCCCAAGATGTTAACCCTTTCCAGTCATTAGTACAGTGTATAGCATTATCACTGATCACTGTATTAGTGTTGCTGGGGATGTCCGTGGCAGTTATTCAATTCCCCCTCCAGTGTCAATTAGTGTCAGATTGTCCACCACACTGTCACAGTCCTGCTATAATTTGCTGATCACCACCATTAAAGAACAATTCTAGTGTATATACTTGGAATTTACTGATACCAATAGCAGTATTGGTATTGGTGCTGCTACCCGAGTATTTTCATGAGTACTTGTCCTTGTAAAAATGATCCTGATACCCGAAACCCGTACTTTGCAGTGCAATTTGCATCCATACAAAATGAATGGGCGCAAAATTGCACTGCAAAGAATAGCGTGATTTGGACGAGAATGTGGTGTGATTCCTGTCCAAATCGCATGCTGTTTCCCCACCACTCCTGTGTGAGCCCATGCTTGTCATAGCTTGAGTTGACAGAGGAGACGTGTGGGGAAACCTCCCTGCACCAATCCCATGCTGTCACACAATGAAAAGCCACTTCACAGGTCTGGGGATTAGAAATCCTCACAGCTTTCTCTCCTCCCCTTGCAGCGGGTTAGATGACTTCTGATTGATCAGCACCATCACAGTGCTGACGAATCAGAAGCCGTCTAGCCCATACTGTCATCCCCACAAGGAGAGGAGTGAAAGCCATGGGGATTTCAAATGCCCAGACCTTTGAAGCAGCTTTTTGTTGTGCGACAGCATGAGCTGTGGGCGCTTGAGGAGAGTACTGTGGCCGGGTGCTATGGTTTTTTTTTGCAAAGCTATGTGCAGCACCCTGCCAGTCACTCACACCAGCTATGATCAGCATTGCATAGAGAAGCACAGAGACCCAGTGATGAAAGTGGCAAGCAAAATATGTAACAAAAACAGGTTTTATGTCATCAGTATGTTCATGTGAGGGAACAAAAAAAGGAATTAAGAATGGCAATTAATAAACAGATTAAATTTCAGTTTTAACAGCTGCAGGGATACAGATTGTTGCTTAGTGAGGGTTAGGAAACCTGGCACCCTTCAACTGCCTCCTCCCGGAGAGTGAAAGCTGAGAGCAGTTCCAATTGTCTGGGGAGGATTCCAAGACAACCTGTTCGAATAGATACACTAGATGGTGTTCAGTGCCTGGGGAATGTAACAACAGATGACGTATGGCTTCATTAACTTATCCATGACCTGTCATTTTCTTCTCTGCCAGTTTGATGGTCCTGAGGGACAGTGGTTTCAGAAGATATCTTCAAGGTTCTGTAGCCGACAGCCATTTGCCCTGGAACAGCTCAAACAGAAGCAGAAGAAAGACCCCAGATTCACCCAGTTTATTCAGGTAAGCCCCTAATGGTTTATTTATCTCAGATGGACACTCTGGGGGCTTGTTCACATGTGAGGTTGGGGGGTGGTAAAACCCATGGTTGACCTGAGGTCTTACCGTCCCTCCAACCGCTACCCCCTTTAGCTGCAGAGGCGGTGAGAAGAGGTGAAAACACGCTGCAGCTGTGATTTTTTTACTTTGCAGGCACAGCAAGAATTATACCCCCTGTCACTAGCACCTGCCGAATGCAGCCCATTCAAGTGAATGGTACCGCTCTGTAAGAGGCCTGCAGCCATGTGCAATGCATAATGTGGTGGAACGCTAGTACGGGGATTAAGGGGTTAAAGCAGGTGGTAGGGGGTGATACAATGGCTCCTAACTGCCTGACAAATCATCTCTGAAGAGCTATCTAAATGTAAGTCGCTCTTTAGAGAGCATATCCCTCTTCAGAGTGCACTGGTAGAATGAATGAGCCCTTAAAGGCCTGATATTGTTGAGAAATCTGGTGCAGTTAGTGGAGGTTATGTACCAGAGAATCAAAAAGGCTAATGTAAGGATTATTAGTATGACTCCAGCCAAAACTGCTTTTTTTTCCACATTTAAAGTGGGACCAAAGCAAACCCTTTTTTTTTCCCATTTTGGGTACAGTCAAGGAAAGTTATAATAACCCCCATCAGTTTTTTTGTTTTTAGCTATCTGTGTCCCATTGCAAAATTTCCCCTCACTTCCTGTCCCATAGCCAAGACAGGATGTAAGAGAATATCCTTTCAAAGTGAGGGAATCTCTGGGTGTCCCCATTAGAAGATTTCCCCTCTATTAGTGTTCTGATGTCATTCCAAAAATTTGGGATTTTCTTTTACTTTCACTTTCAATGATAATGGTAAACAGAACAAATAGAGAAGGGGAATCTCCCTAATGGGGACACAGACAGCAGTACAAACTGAAGTGGTTCTAATCCATCTCCACTCTATCCAAAACTAATAATTAAAAAAAAAAAAAGTTTTGTCTTTAGCTACACTTTAAAGTGTTACTAAACCCAGGAACCTGCATTCACTATATCTGGTCTCCCTGGACCCTGCATTCACTATATCCGGTCTCCCCGGACCCTGCATTCACTATATCTGGTCTCCCCGGACCCTGCATTCACTATATCTGGTCTCCCCGGACCCTGCATTCACTATATCTGGTCTCCCCGGACCCTGCATTCACTATATCTGGTCTCCCCGGACCCTGCATTCACTATATCCGGTCTCCCCGGACCCTGCATTCACTATATCTGGTCTCCCCGACCCTGCATTCACTATATCTGGTCTCCCCGGACCCTGCATTCACTATATCTGGTCTCCCCGGACCCTGCATTCACTATATCTGGTCTCCCCGGACCCTGCATTCACTATATCTGGTCTCCCCGGACCCTGCATTCACTATATCTGGTCTCCCCGGACCCTGCATTCACTATATCTGGTCTCCCCGGACCCTGCATTCACTATATCTGGTCTCCCCGGACCCTGCATTCACTATATTCTGGTCTCCCCGGACCCTGCATTCACTATATTTGGTCTCCGCGGACCCTGCATTCACTATATTTGGTCTCCCCGGACCCTGCATTACTATATCCGGTCTCCCCAGACCCTGCATTCACTATATCCGGTCTCCCCCCGGACCCTGCATTCACTATATCCGGTCTCCCCGGACCCTGCATTCACTATATCTGGTCTCCCCCGGACCCTGCATTCACTATATCTGGTCTCCCCGGACCCTACATTCACGATATCTGGTCTCCCCGGACCCTGCATTCACGATATCTGGTCTCCCCGGACCCTGCATTCACGATATCTGGTCTCCCCGGACCCTGCATTCACGATATCTGGTCTCCCCGGACCCTGCATTCACGATATCTGGTCTCCCCGGACCCTGCATTCACGATATCTGGTCTCCCCGGACCCTGCATTCACGATATCTGGTCTCCCCGGACCCTGCATTCACTATATCCGGTCTCCCCGGACCCTGCATTCACTATATCCGGTCTCCCCGGACCCTGCATTCACTATATCCGGTCTCCCGGACCCTGCATTCACTATATCCGGTCTCCCCGGACCCTGCATTCACTATATCCGGTCTCCCCGGACCCTGCATTCACTATATCTGGTCTCCCACAGTACACAGAATATGGTAATGCAATTATTTTAGTAACTATAAACTGCTAAATACCTTTTCTCATCAGCAATTAGAGCAGTCTTGTGACCTCTATCAGTGTTCAGCAGAGCACTGGTTAAAGCTTGTGGGAGGAGTTTTCTTTCTGCTTAGGAGGATAGTTAACCCCTGACCCTCTCTATGGACAGTGCTGATTGGACCTGTGCTGATCACATGCACTCTCCAAAAAAACCCAAAACTTCTAGTAATACACACCATACTGAGCATGTGCAGAGTGACTTCACACGATATGTCCCTATCAGGAGATAAGAAGGGGAGGAGCAGAGAAGTCGGGATCAAACAAAAATGTGATTTCCGCACGCCTGGGGAGTTTGCCATTCACTTCCTGTTCGGTCTCTGGGAGAGGAAGTGAGATAAAGGATTTCTGATGGGGTCACGGACCTGACAAAGGCGGATGCCATTGTTCCCCGTGGCAGGACACATCTTCAGTTGGGCACATCTGCAGAATTATAGTAGGAGGTGTGTCTTTGAATGTTCTTTCAATTGAATGAATATTAGTATACAGGATTTTTATAGTGCCAACAATATTCACAGCGCTGTATAAAATAAAGGGAGACAGTATAGTTATTATATAATTGATTACGAGAGGGGTCAGAGGAACCTGGTCATGAGAGCTTACAATCTAATTATCACAAATCTATCTCTCAACCCCCCACCTCACCCCCTTGGTCTCAGCCCGAATCACACACCTACTGAGTGACATATCAGACTGGATGTCGCTCCACTTCCTTAAATTGAACCTCTCCAAAACCGAGTTTCTTGTCTTCCCCCCAGCCCGGACACCACCCCCCATTGATTTCTCCGTCACATCCAACAACGCTACCATCAAACCCGCCCTGCAGGCCAGAGTACTTGGTGTCATTCTGGACTCCAACCTATCCTTCCAGCCCCAAGTCCAATCTTTAACAAACTCGTGCAGACTCCACCTCCGCAACATCGCCAAAATACGCACGTTCCTAACCCCAGAAACCCCTAAACAGCTCATCCACTCCCTCATCATATCACGACTCGACTACTGCAAACTCCCTCCTCACTGGCCTGCCTCGCCGCTGGCTATCCCCTCTTCAGTCCATCCTGAACACGGCTGCCAGACTCATTCACCTTTCCAACCGCTCTGTCTCCGCCACCCCCCTCTGCCAATCCCTCCACTGGCTTCCGATTGTGCAACGGATCAAATTCAAAATCCTAACGCTGACGTACAAAGCTGTCCACCATACTGCCCCGAACTACATCACCGACCTAATATCCAAGTACCGCCCAACACGCACACTCCGCTCCTCACAAGACCTCCTTCTCTCTAGTTCCCTGGTCTCCTCCTCCCATGCCCGCCTCCAGGACTTCTCCAGGGTGTCACCCATCCTCTGGAACTCCCTGCCCCAACCCATCAGATTATCACCTACTCTCCTCTCCTTTAGGCGCACCCTGAAAACCCATCTCTTCAGGGAAGCCTACCCCACCCCCTGCTAACTTGCCGACCTCCTCCACTCTTCCTACCACTCCATCCCCCACAGCTATCTCCTCCTGTGCCACCATCCCCTCCCTCCTAGATTGTAAGCTCGAAAGAGCAGGGCCCTCAATCCCCTCATGTTTTGCATTGTATTGGTATTGTTCTGTCACATGTTCTGTCTCCCTTTGTAATGTACAGCGCTGAGCGAACTATTGGCGCTTTATAAATACTGTATAATAATAATAATAATAATTATTCTAACCATTTTTTTTCCCTCGTCACCAGGAGGCAGAGAGCCATCCTCAATGCCGCCGGTTACAGTTGAAGGATATTATCCCGTTTGAGATGCAGAGACTGACCAAATACCCCCTACTACTGCAGAACATCGCAAACCTCACCGGTGAGTTCCTCTCTCCTGCCCCATCTACATAAGAAATATACAAAAGTCTTAGGCCTCGTGCGCACTGCATATTTGGCCGTCTTTCCTTGTTTTTGCTACTAGCAACATCATTTTGGCAGAAAAAAAATGTTTGCCGCTTGTAAACGCATGTAAGGCATGTAGGCGCATCAAGCACTTGTACGTGAATTCATTTCATTAGCCGGAATAAAATACTTGAACAGGGCAGCACAGTAGCTAAATGGTTAGCACTTCCGCCTGGCAGTACTAGGAGTCATTGTTATGAATCCCAACCACGGCACCACCTGCCTGGAGTTTGCATGTTCTCCCTGTGCCTACGTGGGTTTCCTCTGGGTACTCCGGTTTTCCTCCCACACTCCAAAGACATGCTGGTAGGTTAATTGGCTGCTCTCTAAATTGGCCCCACTGTATGACTGTGAGTTAGGGACCTTAGATTGTACGCCCCTTGAGGGTTCAGGACTGATGTGAATGTACAATATGTATGTGAAGTGCTGCGTAAATTGACGGCGCTATATAAGTACCTGAAATTAATAAATACTTGGACGTTAATTTATTTTATTGGCCAGAATAAATTGTCGGCCAATTAAATGAATTAACGTCCAAGCGCTTGGCGTGCAAATGCGCCTACACGTGTTACATGCGTTTACAAGCGTCAAACATTTTTTCTGCCAAAACGCTGTTGCATTGAAATCAATTCACGCTGAAGTGCTTGACGTGCCTGGCATCAGGGCCACCTGTCCTCCTGTACGAGGCCCAGGACAGAAGGGGAGCCCAAGCAGCTGGGTGAATCAGATGTGGGCAGGGAGGGTGATCGGCATGGTGGTGAGGGGTCAATTACTGGAACTGATCCCCTGTATGGCTCTCTGCAGCAGCTGAAAGCTGGCTTCTTCTCACTCTCCTGCTTGTTTTCAGCTGCTGCAGGGAGAGCCATACAGGGGATCAGTTCCAGTAACCCCTCCACCCTGCTACACCCATCCCCCTCCCTGTGCACCATACGTTTTCCCCTGCTGCTTAAGCCCCCCTGTGTGCCCCCACCCCCAGAGAACTGCCACCTCCCCTCCTCTCCTTCCCACCGGCGGCTGCAAGCATACAATAGGATCCTTCAGGATGGAGTGGGGGAAAGGTACGGTAAATATGTCATAATTATCAGCCCCTTCCTTTAATAAATGAACACAATGAGTGATTGGTATTGATCACTCATGGTGTTCATTCATAACTGAAGTATAATTAAATTGTGGGGCTGTTAGGTTGGTGGATGGGGCCCCCGTGGTTTCTATAAATCAACCCTGCCTAGCATTAACGCTCGTTTTCACACATTAAGCGTTTTTTTTTCTACCAGAATGTGCAGCTCCTGAACACACTGGCAGTGGGTTTTTAATTCCTGCCCTCCAACTCCTCTAAATGTCTGTGTGCATGGACACATAGGCTAACATGGAGGGGCGTTTAGAGGCAGGAAAAAAAAAATACTAGATGCCCCTAGGAGCAATGTTAAAAAATACTTCCATTGTGCATGAGGCCTTCGGAGCTTGTCTGCTGGACACCAGTGGTCTACTGAGCCTTTGTTAAAGTGAACCTGTCATTAAAATGGACACCACGTTAATCATCACTGTGCGTAAAAGTAAGGAAATGTCTATTTTGACCAACAAATAGAAGCTTCCAAACGCCATAATGTACCTAAAGCCTAGGGAGATCACTGGCTACCAGGAGCATTGTGGGTGTTTCATGGTATTGAAAACTGAAGAGAATCTGTTGTATTCAGACTGTGTCTAGAGGGAAAAGACCAGAAAGGCACAGCCATTTTTATTTGTAGGAAGCAAAGCCTGCATATGTAATGAACAAGACAAGCCTTAGAACTGCAGCTAGTTGATAATTTAAAAGGAAAGCCTACTTAATTTCCATTTTAGAATGGAAATATTTTTATACTTTTTTTTTTAATTTTTTTATTTTTAGATTTTGTTTCCACTGTGCATATACAGTATTCTGTGTTGTTGTTCTAATTTGTAAGCAAATGCAGCGCTAAACGAACGCTATCCCCACTCCAGTCGATCCTAAAACTCAGCGGCTAGACTCATCCACCTCACCAACCGCTCCACATCTGCCTCCCCCCTCTGCCAATCCCTTCATTGGCTCCCGATTGCCCAATGCATCAATTCAAACTGCTAACTCTGACCTACAAAGCCATTCACAATACCGCCCCGAACTACATAACTGACCTGATACCCAAATACTACCCTACCGTGCCCTCCGCTCCTCACAGGACCTCCTACTCTCTAGCTCCCATGCCCGATTGCAGGACTTTTCCAGGACTTCCCCCATCCTCTGGAACTCCTACCCCAATCCATCAGACTGTCACCTACCCTCCTCACCTTCAGGCGCACCCTGAAAACCCTCCTCTTCAGGGAAGCCTACCCCAACCTCACCTAACACCTGACCTCACCTAACAACTAACCTCCTCCACTCCTCCCACCATCCATCCCCCACAGCCATCTCCTCCTGTGCCACCTTCCCCTCCCTCCTAGATTGTAAGCTCGAAAGAGCAGGGCCCTCGAACCCTCGTGTATTGTATTGTTACTGTCTTGTCTCTTGTTCTGTCCCCCTTGCTACTGTACAGCGCTGAGCATACCCTTTGGCGCTATATAAATACTGTATAATAATAATAATAATAAATGACTAATGAATCAAGCGGAACGATAAAGTGCATCACATAAAAAAAATTAAATAACTGTCGGTAAATCAAATTCTAGAAACTGAATGCAACAGTAAAGTGCATCATAAACTGTATGTATCAAAATGGAACAGTAAAGTGCATCATATAAAAGTGCAAATATTTCAAACCAGGCGTTTGTAAAAAAAAATGGAACAATAAAGTGCATCTTATTATTATTTTAATTTGTACCTTTTAAAGCATATCTAAACCCAAAAACAAACATTTAATACAGAGCAGCTTACTAACCCCAGATGTGGCTGCATTCTTTTTCTCCTTATAGGTTTTTGTTCTGTACCATACTTCCTGTCCAAGGATGACAACACTCACTATACTGTATATATAGAGGAGCAGGGTTGTCACCATAGACTTCTCTCCTGATTCAGACTACAAACCTGCATGGTTCTCCTCTGTGAACTACAGAACAAGCTTTTTCCATTTTGTGAGGAAAATGAGGAGGAGGGGGCATTTAGTCCAAATCAGGGGCAAGCAGTCTAGGGTGACAACCTATAGTAAAGTGGGTGGGCATTATCACCCCAGAACAGGAAGTATGTTACTGGCAGGATTACCGAATACAAATAAGGGTTAAAAAGCCTGAAAAAAATAAAACGAATGCAGGCGTTGCATAGGAGTGGTGAGCTGAAATATATTGCATTTTGTTCTTGACACTTTAAAGCGATTGTAAACCTCAGACATGAAATATATAAACAAAGCATATCCCCCTATACAGTGGTACCTCAGTTTACGAATTTAATGCGTTCTCGGGGACGTTTCGTATTGTGAAAAATTTGTAAACGAAACGCGGTTTCCCATAGGAATGCATTGAAAAACACCTCCACACTCGACGTCACGCGCTACCCACAGACTACCCACAGGCTCCAGCATGCAGGGGGGGCGGCGCTCTAAACCTCCCAGGCGCAATGCATCCTGGGGAAACTTGCTTCGTATTGCGAAAAAAAATTTGTAAGCCGAGGCATTATTTTCAATGGATTTTCATTCGTGAACCAAAAAATTACGTTAACCGAGGCTTTTGCAAGCCGAGGTACCACTGTAATGTGTATTTGTCTCAGTTAAGAGCACCAAGTGTGATTTCTGTCTGCTGCTTCGTTCTTCTTATATCAACATGAATCACTTCAGCTAAGTTTAGCTGACACCAAAAGAAAAATGGTTACAGGGGAGCAGGGGCGGACTGACCATTTGGAAACTCGGGCACTGCCCGAGGGCCCGGGGTCAGTAGAGGGCCCCATGAGATGCCCCTGGTACCTTTTTCATAGGCTTTTTTGAGTTTGGGCAAGGACACAGGGGCCCCATGATCCCCTATTGCCCGGGGGCCCCATGAGTTGTCAGTCCGCCCCTGCAGGGGAGGGACCTCCAGCAGAGTGACAGCCTCAAGTGTGTGTGTGTCTGTCTGTCTGTCTTCCCTTCAATCATTTCTCAGAGCTCTCCTCACTGAGCTCTGCAGAGTGTGACTTCAGCTCCCCCACACCCTTTTTTACTGAACTCTCGGACAAGCTGTATAAATTCTGAACTTTGAATGGATGTAGAGAAGAGAAGGCTGCAGATCAACAGGTACAACTTATGTAGGAGGATTTGTTTCATCTCTGTATCATCTGAGGTCAGTCACTTCATTGGGTATATGTAAAGGTTTACAACCACTTTAACTCTTCAGCATCTATAATGGGTGGAATTTTTTCATGCCGACACTTTTTTTCAAAAATTGGATCAGTGACGGTTTGTTCTGCCTTCGCTAAAGACGATGTGATTAAAAAAACATTTTAATTCTACAAAAATATGAACAATGAGTGAGCGACTGCAGAGATTGGTCCCCACTCACTACAAATCCATTAATCATTACTGACAGCCAATTACAAGAGCAGACCACTGGAAAGCTACCCGTTACTTAGTTTTGTTCCCGCCACGTTGAAGACGCCGTGCTTCATTGTCTACAGAAAGACTGAGCTGGGGAGGGACAGAACTTTCCACCCAAATTTTAACTTTTCAGCTATGTAGAAGGGACTTTCTTTTTGGAGGTAAATGTATGCTGGTGACTGGATTGTGTTCCCATTTATGCATGCTTGCAAGAAGTTGTTCAATGTAGTTTGATAAAAATATCCTGTTCTCTGTATTGCTTCCTTGGTGTGAAATATCTGGTGATCCTGCTAGTCCTTCTGCTTTCCTATTTAAAACTTACCATGCTAGGCATGAGAGCGTATCCATCCTGGTGTGGTCAGTTTTCTGGCTGTGCTGGGAGAACAGCCTGCCTGTCCTCCAATGGTCAGACTTGTGCTGATACCCCCACCACCTGCACTGCTCTTCACTGGGAAGATCAGTGTACTGCTGTTTCTCTGCCTCCTGCAGACATGCCTCCCTGCAATCTCCACCCCGCCTATCTAAGCCCATTGTGCAGCTGAGAACAGAGGTTGTGTGCTCTTTTACTGAGAAAAAAAAAAGCGAAAAATTAAAAAAAAAAAAGTTATTTATAATGTACTTTAAAACCATTCTGTGTGGTTTTGTGATCAGCAGCTTCTATAATTGTCCATTGTTGCATCAGTTTTGCCTGGAAAGCTCTATCATATAAAAAATGAAAGAAATACTTTGGGGAAGTTACTGTTCCTTATTTTTATCTTTTGTGTCTTTTAGAGGAAGAAGGAGAGAAGCAAAGAGTACAGAAGGCGGCTGAGTGTTGTCGGCAGATCCTGAACCACGTCAATACAGAAGTCCGAGAGATGGAGAATAAGATGGTAGGATAATAGCTGTGTGTGTGAATGGGGTGTCCTTTCTGCTTTGATCATAGTCAGTGGCATGGGTTCAGGGATTCTCCGTCAGAATCATTTACCCTTTTGTAGGTCACCGATTTGTTATTGTTTTCTCAGTAGACTACATTCATAGACTACAGAACTGCTTTCCTAGCATGCAGATACACATGGGGTGGTTAAGGTGCTACGTCCCCAATCCATGTCCTGATAAAATAGAGCCTTGGGGACAAGCTGTACATGCTCAGTTTGGTGTGTATTACTAGAGAGTTTGTTTTTGTTTTGTTTTTCTTGGGAGAGTGCATGTGATCAGCACAGGGCAAATATAGCAGTGATTAGTTTACGCTCTCTTTCCTTAACCTCTTAATGCCGGGCTCACACAAATATGCAGCCCCACTGCACTGGGCTTTTTGCTGTGGGGCCGCATATTTGCATATCTCCCTTTGTGCTGGCGGGCTTCCAGCACAGATACCAGGGGTCTAACGATCACAGTGATCAGCCACTGCAAAGCCCGCCTCTGTGCTTTCTCTGTCTGAATGGAGGAGAGAAATACATTGTGTAATCTGTCTGTCTGTCTCTCTCCCCCCCCCCCCTGCCTCCCCCCCCCCCCTCTGCCCCCCCTCTCTCCCCCCTCTCTCTCTTGCCCCCCCTCTCTCCCCCCCTCACTCTCTCTCTCTCCCATCCCCCCCTCCCCAATTCCTCTCTCTTTCCCTCCCCCCCTCTCTTCTCTCCCCCCCTTCTCTCCCTCCCTCTCCCTCACCCCCTCTCCTCTTTCTATCCTCTTCTTCTCTCCCTCTCCCTCCTCTTCTCTCCTCTCCCTCCTCTTCTCTCCTCTCCCTCTCTTCTCTCCTCTCCCTCTCACTCCCTCTCCTCTCCCTCTCCCCGGATCTCCCTCCTCTCCCCCTTCTCTTCTCTTCTCCTTCTCTCTCTCCTCCCTCCTCTTCTCTCCTCTCCCTCCTCTTCTCTCCTCCCCCTCTCCTCTCTCTCCCTTCTCTTTTCTCCTCTCGTCCCTTCTCTTTTCTCCTCTCCCTCCTCTTCTCTCCTCTCCCTCCTCTTCTCTCCTCATCTCCCTCCTCTTTCCGCTCCTCTCTCTCTCCCCTCTTTCTATCTCCTCTTTTCTCTTTCTTGCTCTCTTTCTCTCTCGCTGTCTGTCTCTCTTTGCGCTTTCAAAAAAACAACAGTGTGCAAAATAAATTAAATATTCAAAAAGGAAAGAAAAACTAAAGAAAAAGTGCCAGGGTTAGTGTTTGGGTCAAGTAGGGTTAACGGTCAGGGTGTCAGGGTCAGTATATTTTAGTCTAGGTTCACATCTATGCAGTTTTTGTGTTTGATACGTTTCTGCAGTGCGTTTAACATTTTTGCACATGCATTTTTGCCACGTATTTTATGAGTTTTTGTGTTCGACCAGTTTTTGCATTGCGATTTGCATTGCGTTTGTGTTTTTGCACCTGTGTTTTTCACATTTTTTGCCATATTTTTTTTTTTCTTGTTGCTAGGCAGATTTAAAATGCAAAACCACCGCAAAAACGCACTACATGCTTTTCTGCAGCGGTTCCATTGAAGTCTATAGAATCAAAAACGCAACTCTTTTGCATTCAAAAAAGTCCCTGATCCTTTCCAAAATATGCCCTGGCTGATGTGAACATGTCCCATAGGAAATCATGTTAAATGGACTGCTGTGCGGTTCTGCCAAAAACGCTGTGGAAAACGCTTAGTTGTGAACCTAGGGTAACGTGTGTATAATGTTTATCTTTTTGTCCTTTTAAAGAAACTTACTGAATTACCAAAGACGTCTTGATATGTCAAACTTGAAGCAGAGCAATGACCCGCTGTTCAATGAGTTCAAGGTAAGGCCAAATGAAACGAAATCTCTTCTGTAAGAGTACCAGTCATCAATGAGCATCCATAGAATATGAATTTCCACTCCGGAACAATTGTCCTAGCACAGCCTTACCTACTAGAGCAGTGGTTCTCAACCTTTCTAATGCCGCGAGCCCCCCTTAATACAGTTCCTCATGTTGTGGTGACCCCCAACCATAAAATTATTTTTTCGTTGCTACTTCATAACTGTAATTTTGCAGTGGGAGGACTAGCGCCCCATCACTGATGTCAGTGGAAAGAATAGTGTCCCATCGTTGGTATCAGTGGGAGGAATAGTGCCCCATCGTTGGTGTCAGGGAGGAATAGTATCCCATCATTGGTGTCAGTGGGAGGAATAGTGCCCCCATCATTGGTATCAGTGGGAGGAATAGTGCCCCATCATTGGTATCAGTGGGAGGAATAGTGCCCCATCATTGGTATCAGTGGGGGGAATAGTGCCCCATCATTGGTATCAGTGGGGGGAATAGTGCCCCATCACATGGTATCAGTGGAGGAATAGTGCCCCATCATTGGGATCAGTGGGAGGAATAGTGCCCCATCTCATTGGTATCAGTGGAAGGAATAGTGCCCCATCATTGGTATCAGTGGAAGGAATAGTGCCCCCATCATTGGTATCATAGTGGAAGGAATAGTGTCCCATCATTGGTATCAGTGGAAGGAATAGTGCCCCATCAATGGTATCAGTGGGAGGAATAGTGCTCCATCATTGGTATCAGTGGGAGGAATAGTACCCCATCATTGGTATCAGTGGGAGGAATAGTACCCCATCATTGGTATCAGTGGGAGGAATAGTGCTCCATCATTGGTATCAGTGGGAGGAATAGTGCTCCATCATTGGTATCAGTGGAGGAATAGTGCCCCATCATTGGTATCAGTGGAAGGAATAGTGCTCCATCATTGGTATCAGTGGGAGGGAATAGTGCTCCATCATTGGTATCAGTGGGAGGATTTGTGCCCCATCATTGGTATCAGTGGGAGGAATAGTGCCCCATCATTGGTATGAGTGGGAGGAATATGTGCCCCCATCATTGGTATCAGTGGAGGAATAGTACCCCATCATTGGTATCAGTGGAAGGAATAGAGCCCCCATCATTGGTATCAGTGGAAGAGATAGTGCCCCATCATTGGTATCAGTGGAAGGAATAGTGCCCCATCATTGGTATCAGTGGGAGGAATAGTGCCCCATCATTGGTATCAGTGGAAGGAATAGTGCCCCATCATTGGTATCAGTGGGAGGAATAGTGCCCATCATTGGTATCAAGTGGGAGGAATAGTGCTCCATCATTGGTATCAGTGGGAGGAAATAGTGCCCCATCATTGGTATCAGTGGGAGGAATAGTGCCCCATCATTGGTATGAGTGGGAGGAATAGTGCCCCCATCATTGGTATCATTGGAGGAATAGTGGCCCCATCATTGGTATCAGTGGGAGGAATAGTGCCCCATCATTGGTGTCAGTGGGAGGAATAGTGCCCCATCATTGTATCAGTGGGAGGAATAGTGCCCCATCATTGGTGTCAGTGGGGGAATAGTGCCCCCATCATTGGTATCCGTGGGAGGAATAGTGCCCCATCATTGGTATCATAGTGGGAGGAGGAAGTGCTCCATCATTGGTATCAGTGGGAGGAATAGTGCCCCATCATTGGTATCAGTGGGAGGAATAGTGCCCATCATTGGTATGAGTGGGAGGAATAGTGCCCCATCCCATTGGTATCAGTGGGAGGAATAGTCCCCATCATTGGTGTCAGTGGGAGGAATAGTGCCCCATCATTGGTGTCAGTGGGGAGGAATAGTGCCCCATCATTGGTGTCAGTGGGAGGAATAGTGCCCCATCATTGGTATCAGTGGGAGAATAGTGCCCCATCATTGGTATCAGGGAGGAATAGTGCCCCATCATTGGTATCAGTGGGAGGAATAGTTGCCCCATCATTGGTGTCAGTGGGAGAAATAGTGCCCCATCAATGGTGTCAGTGGGAGGAATAGTGCCCCATCATTGGTGTCAGTGGAGAGGAATAGTGCCCCATCATTAGTATCAGTGGGAGGAATAGTGCCCCATCATTGGTGTCATCATTTGGGAGGAATAGTGCTCCATCATTTTGCTCCGTCAGTGGGAGGAATAGTGTACAATCATTGGCGTCAGTGGGAGGAATAGTGCCCCCATCATTGGCGTCAGTGGGAGGAATAGTGCCCCATCATTGGCGTCAGTGGGAGGAATAGTGTTTCCCCCCCGTCATTGGCGTCAGTGGGAGGAATAGTGCCCCCATCATTGGCGTCAGTGGGAGGAATGGTGTCCCATCGTTGGCATCAGTGGGAGGAATAGTGCCCCATCGTTGGCGTCAGTGTGGAGGGAATAGTGTCCCAACATTGGTCGTCAGTGGGAGGAATAGTGTCCCATCATTGTATCAGTGGGAGGAATAGTGCCCCATCATTGATAATCAGTAGGGAGGAATAGTGCCCCATCATTGGGGTCAGTGGGAGGAATAGTGCCCCATCATTGGTATCAGTGGAAGGAATAGTGCCCCATCGTTGGTATCATTGGTTGATCCCAATCATGAGTGGGAGAATAGTGCCCCATCAATTGGTATCAGAAGTGAGTTGGGCAGGGAATAAGTGCCCCATCATTGTGCGTCAGTGGGAGGAATAGTGCCCCATCATTGGTGTCAGTGGGAGGAATAATGCCCCATCATAGGCGTCAGTGGGAGGAATAGTGCCCCATCATATGGTGTCAGTGGGGGAGTAATAGTGAGCCGATACGATAGAACCCCATCATTGGTGTCAGTGGGAGGTAAAAATGTCCCCATCATTGGTGTCAGTGGGAGGAATAGTGCCCCATCATTGGTGTCAGTGGGAGGAATAGTGCCCCATCATTGGTGTCAGTGGGAGGAATAGTGCCCCATCATTGGTATCAGTGGGAGGAATAGTACCCCTTCATTGGTATCAGTGGGAGGAAATAGTGCTCCATCATTGTGTCAGTGGGAGGAATAGTGCCCCATCATCATTGGTGTCATGGAGAAAGGAATAGTGCCCCATCATTGGTGTCAGTGGAGGAATAGTGCTCCATCATTTGGTCTCAGTGTGAGGAATAGTGCCCCATCGTTGTATCAAGTGGGAGGAAATAGTGCTCCATCATTGGTATCAGTGGGAGGAATAGTGTCCCATCGTTGGTGTCAGTGGGAGGAATAGTGTCCCATCGTTGGTATCAGTGGGAGGAATAGTAGTCCCATCATTGGTATCAGTGGGAGGATAGTGCCCCATCATTGGTGGTCAGTGTGGATGAATAGTGCGCCATCCATTGGTATCACAGTGGAGGAATAGTGCCCCATCATTGGTATCAGTGGGAGGAATAGTGCCCCATCATTGGTATCAGTGGGAGGAATAGTGGCCCCATCATCAGTGGGAGGAATAGATACCCCCATCATTGGTATCAGTGGGAGGAATATAGTGCCCCCATCATTGGTGTCAGTGGGAGGAATAGTGCCCCATCATTGGTGTCAGTGGGAGGAATAGTGCCCATCATTGTGTCATTGGTCTCAACAGTGTGAGGAATAGTGCCCCATCATTGGTATCAGTGGAGGAATAGTGCTCCATCATTGTTATCAGTGGGAGGAATAGTGTCCCATCGTTGGTGTCAGTGGGAGGAATAGTGTCCCATCGTTGGTGTCCCATGTGGGAGGAATATGCCCCATCATTGGTGTCAGTGGGAGGAATAGTGTCCCATCATTGGTATCAGTGGGAGGAATAGTGTCCCATCATTGGTATCAGTGGGAGGAATAGTGCCCCATCATTGGTATCAGTGGGAGGAATAGTGCCCCATCATTGGTGTTCGATAGTCAGTGGATGGAATAGTGCGCCCATCATTGGTATCAGTGGGGAGGAATAGTGCCCCATCATTGGTATCAGTGGGAGGAATAGTGCCCCATCATTGGTGTCAGTGGGAGGAATAGTACCCCATCATTGGTATCAGTGGGAGGAATAGTGCCCCATCCATTGGTGTCAGTGGGGAGGAATAGTGCCCATCATTGGTGTCAGTGGGAGGAATAGTGCCCCATCATTGGTATCAGTGGGAGGAATAGTGCCCCATCATTGGTATCAGTGGGAGGAATAGTGCCCCATCATTGGTGTCAGTGGGAGGGAATAGTGCCCCATCATTGGTGTCAGTGGGAAGTACAATAGTGTGCCCCAATCATTAGGTATCAGTGGGAGGAATAGTGCCCCATCATTGGTGTCAGTGGGAGGAATAGTGCCCCATCATTATGTATCAGTTGGGAGGAATAGTTGCCCCATCATTGGTATCGTGGGAGGAATAGTGCCCCCATTGTCAGTGGATTAGTATCAATGGGAGGAATAGTGCCCCATCATTGGTATCAGTGGGAGGAATAGTGCCCCATCATTGGCGTCAGTGGGAGGAATAGTGCCCATCATTGGTATCAGTGGGAGGAATAGTACCCCATTTCATTGGTGTCAGTGGGAGGAATAGTGCCCCATCATTGGTGTCAGTGGGAGGAAATAGTGCCCCATCATTGGTGTCAGTGGGGAGGAATAGTACCCCATCATTGGTGTCAGTGGGAGGAATAGTGCCCCATCATTGGTGTCAGTGGGGGAGAAATAGTGCCCCATCGTTGGTGTCAGTGGGGGGAGGAATAGTGCCCCATCGTTGGGTGTCAGTGGGGGAAGGAATAGTGCCCCATCGTTGGTGTCAGTGGGGGGGGGAATAGTGCCCCATCGTTGGTGTCAGTGGGGGGAGGAATAGTGCCCCATCGTTGGTGTCAGTGGTGGGAGGAATAGTGCCCCATCGTTGGTGTCAGTGGGGGGAGGAATAGTGCCCCATCGTTGGTGTCAGTGGGGGGAGGAATAGTGCCCCATCGTTGGTGTCAGTGGGGGGAGGAATAGTGCCCCCATCGTCGTTGGTGTCAGTGGGGGAGGAATAGTGCCCCATCGTTGGTGTCAGTGGGGGGAGGAATAGTGCCCATCGTTGGTGTCAGTGGGTGAGGAATAGTGCCCCATCGTTGGTGTCATGGGGGGAGGAATAGTGCCCCATCGTTGGTGTCAGTGGGGGGAGGAATAGTGCCCCATCGTTGGTGTCAGTGTTGGGGGGTGAGGAATAGTGCCCCATCGTTGGTGTCAGTGGGGGAGGAATAGTGCCTCATCGTTTGGTGTCAGTGGGGGGGAGGAATAGTGCCCCATCGTTGGTGTCAGTGGGGGGTGGAAATAGTGCCCCATCGTTGGTGTCAGTGGGGGGAGGAATAGTGCCCCATCGTTGGTGTCAGTGGGGGGAGGAATAGTGCCCCATCGTTGGTATTAGTGACACAAATGATTGGGCACTATCCCTCCCACTGACACCAATGATACTTACCTTGCTGACTCCTGCTCCAGCCTGGGCTCGCACTCTCTCCCTCTCCCATCTACAGCCTGCATACCTGGCTGCAGCAACAAAATTTGCACTTACCTGTCAGCTGTCTTCTCTGGCTCTGGCCTCTCTCTTCACTCGCTCCTGCAGCTCCCTGGATCTTCTTCGATCTCCGCGCGCTGCCCCCTCGGCTCCTCCTCTCCAAGCTCCACCTCCTCGCCGGTGATTGGCCGCCTGTGTGCCTCTCCTGAGCTACAGTTCCGGTGGCCAATCAGCGGCGAGGAGGCGGTGACAGGGGCAGCATATCATCCCGCCCACACATCGCCGGAGACAGGAGCGGTGTCTCGGTTCCTAAGACCATCGGAAATATGTGTTTTCCGATGGTCTTAGGCGACCCCTGGGAAATGGTCGTTCGACCCCCAAAGGGGTCGCGACCCCCAGGTTGAGAACCGCTGTACTAGAGGTTGCGTGTTTTTTTTTTTTTTTTTTTTTTTTTTTATTATTTACTTGTGTTCTCTCCCTGCCAGATTAGGAGTAAGACTCTCCTGTTTCTTTCCTAAACTCCGTTCTGATGACTAAGACTAAAAAAAAAAAACATTTATTGAAGTTGCTACCAGGATTACATGTATATATAGAATATATATTATCATCCCTAATCCAGCAGCCTGGAAATTCCTAAATTGATAAAGGAGAGAATTCTATAAATTAAACTGGTTCCCCTTAAAGTGGTTGTAAAAGCAAAAGGTTTTTCACCTTCATGAATTCTATACATGAAGGTAAAAAACCTTTTGAGTGCAGTTTCTCCTGCACCCCCCCCCCCCCCCCCCCCTAAAACTCACCTGATCCAGTGATGTGCATGAGAGCAGCGGCTCCCCCAGGTCTCTCCCTCCTCATTGGCTGAGACTCAGCAGTGGGAGACATTGGCAGTAAGGAAGGGTCAGGGGGCAGGGGCTGAGCCATGCTCTGTGAGTCTTATGGACATACAGAGGCGGCTTGGGAGTGAGCATCCAGAAGTCCCCCATAGCAAGCAGCTTGCCCTGGGGGCACTCAGCAGGGGATGAAGCTCAGGAAGGGGACCTGAGAAGAGGAGGATCAGGGCTGATCTGTGCAAAACCATTACATGGAGCAGGTAAGTATACCATGTTGGTTATTTAAAAAAAATAAAAAATTAACATTTAGAATCCCTTCAAATGGTCAATATAAAAGACATTTACCAAGAGCAGTAGGCGGGTCTACCGCAAATCACAACCCCCTGAGAGCTTGCAGCATTTTTATTTTGTCCTTAAAGTGGAACTTTACCCAAAACAACTTGATAAAAAAATAATGTTCTTTAGCAAGAAACATACATTCCACATTAATAATTATGCTACCAAAATGAGTGTGTGCTGTAAATTGCCTCCAGCATTGTTCCTGATTCATCCTGCTGGAGGTGGCCATTTTGCTGAAGCCCAGAGCCCCTGAGCAACAGTAAATCTTTAGGCTGTCAGTAGATTGGCCTTTAAAAATTCAGCACAGTGCCTAAAATTAGAGAGCAACTGAGCATGTGCAGAGCAGGGTGAGATGGTGTATTACTGGATTTTAAACCGTATAGGCACTTCTTTTTAATGTTTTACATAGCTATACCTGCAAAAGGGGCCAGTATGACGTGATCTAGCAAGACTTAATGTTCTGAATAAAGTTCCGCTGTAAGGCGCATGTAGCCTTTGCGATGGGATATCATATATATCACTGCCTCTATAAATTCTACTACCATGTCTGTATGGAATGTCGGGGGTGAGAACTGCAGACTCACTGAGGTGGGGGGTGTTTAAGGATGGCAGGGTAGTGGTTGGGGGTAGACTGCCGATTCATGAGTTAAAGGTGGCAGGGTGGTCCTGCATGACCAGTGTTCCAGTGTTGCTCCCCCCATCTTATCTTTTTTTTTTTTTTTTGGTATGCTTTTGTCTTTGGTATAGTTCTGCCTTATTTTAACCATTAGCCGCCTGGCCAATGGCCGTTTGGCGGCTTCAAAAGCGCTGCTGCACTCCGGGTGCATGCCATTTGGCGTGCTCCCGCACATGCGCAGTTTGCGCTAATGCAGAGCGGTGCAGCAGCGCAATCTGTCACTGGCCGCGTACCTTGGACACGGCCGATGACAGATCTGAGTACCGGCCCCGTTGCTGATGCCATGTGACCTGCTGTGACCAATCACAGCAGGTCACATGACAGTTGTATACAATGGATGGCTTCATTCATGCCATTCATTGTATACTAGTGCCTAGCTGTGAATGGTCACAGCTAATCACATGCACATGTCATGTGATTAGCTGTGACCAAATCACAGCTAAGCACAAAAAAAAAAAAAGAAGCTGAATGAATCGATTTCATTCAGGTAAATGCTTACTTATAGCAAAGTAATTCTTTACTATAAGCAAATTGTGTAAAAAAAAAAAAAAAAAATACTGATCACTTCCCCAAAGTAGTACAATGTTACTATGGTAACATTGTACTACTTTGGTCATAGTAAAATATGAAAAAAAAATCTTTAAAAAAATGTAATAAAAAATTAAAAATAATAAAAAAAAAATATATATATATATATATATTTTTTTTTTTTTTCATACTGTCACCAGTCAGTGTCCCTGTTCACCGCCATGCCAGTTATAGGATAACGCTGTACTGCACTGGTGACAGTATGTAAAAAAAAAAATAGTGAAAATAATTTTTTTAATTTTTTCATTTTCCGAAAAAATTATGACAAAAAAATACAACTTCAAAAAACTCACCATGCCTCTTATGAAGTACGTCGGACTGTCTACTCTGCAAAAAGTGGTCATTTGGGGGATATCTGTACTATTCTGACATTCTTGGACCTCAAGAAATTAGATTGGCTGTCAGTACTTCAGGATTGATCAATAATCAGATCTATACCATAGTTTGTGAACTCTATAACTTTCCTACAAACTGAATAATACATCCTAATTTGGGTTATTTTCACCAAAGACATGTAGCAGAATACATCTCGGCCTAAATTTATGAAGAACAATTATTTATTTGTAAACTTTTATAACAGAAACAAAAAAAAACGTGTTTTTTTTTCAAAATTGTTGGTCTTTTTTTGTTAATTTAGCAAAAAATAAAAACCCCAGCGGTGATTAAATACCACCAAAAGAAAGCTCTAGTTGTGTGAAGAAAATGATAAAATTTTAGTGTGGGTACAATGTTGTATGACCGCGCAATTGTCATTCAAAGTGTGAGAGCGCTGAAACCTGAAAAATGGCCTGGGAGGGAAGGTGTAAAATTGCCCGATATTGAATTGGTTAAAACTCAATAAACAGAATTTAAAAAAAAAAAAAATTTTTTTTTTTTTTGCAGCATGTCATTGGGCTAATAGAGAGAGCCTGATGTTCAAATGTTTTTTATGTTGGATTGTTGTCACCGCATATAGATGTCCTTTTTTTTTTTTTTTTTTCTCTAGTACATAGATATCAGCAGGAAAAATCTCATCTATGAGGGAGCACTTACTTGGAGAGTTAGCAAGGACAAGTCAGTAGGTGAGAACTAATATCATTGTTCTATTTCTCTACTTGTGTGCCTTGTCCACAAATGTCTTCTATGTCAAGTACTAGAGGGAAGGATATGGTTTAAGCCCTGGTTCACACTTGTGCAGGCTGTGCGTCATTTGAATGGGTTGCTGTGCCTGCATTTTTTGAATAAAAAAAAAATTTCTGAAATAAAAAAAACGCAGCCGCAAGGAAATCGCATAGTCTTTTTGACCATGCAATTTCCCTTTAGTTCCCACATGTGCAAACGTGATGCGGTCTGAGATGCATGCGTCTTGTAAGAGCAGCGCGATGTGGTTGCGGGTGTGGGAACAGATGTGATTCCCACAACCTCAACCAGCCTGCACAGTGTGAGCCAGGGCTTAGGCAGCATGTAGAGTTCCCCAAAATTCAGATTTAGAAAATGTGGTTACTTTGTTTAAATATTTTTTAAAGAAAATCAAAAGCCTATCTAGTATTATAAATGATGTACAGCTTTATGGATTAAGTACTTATACTGACACATTAATACAGCACAGTTGAAGGAGACCTTTCAGTAAGTCTGCTAACATGTCACAATTAACAGCACCAGTACATATTTAATTATTAAAAAGCCATTCTCAAGCTCAGTCCTAGTGACTTTGCCTAGGTTGAGATAATGCCATTAGTGTGCTGCAGGCAGTAGAAACATTTCCTAAAGCAGGCCATAGGTTATGCATTTTTCTTTTCTTTACACGGGTGGAGAAAACGAAAATTGCTTGATTCAACACAGTCAGTGTTGATGGGGAATCTCTTTCACAACGCTATTGTGTTCTGCTGATAGGGGGCCTTCCTGGGCCGGTAGAGCACAATGATTACTGTTAGCGGTCATAGCAACCAGCAGTAATCGCATGTAAAAAGTCCAACATTCTGGTTATACCCAAGTCGATCGATCAACTTTGGTACAACCAGCTGGACTGAATCTTGGTCGGTCTCTTCTGATCTGGCCGAGATTTGCTCCATCTATGGCTGGCTTTAGTCTCTTCTTCCCTAGTGATCAGATTTCAACACTGTAGCAATCTAATCGCTTTGGAGGCTGCAGCATAGGGCTGATCTATGTCAGGCATTGTGAACACAGAGAAGAACCAGGATTTACATTGGGTGTGTCATTTCTAGGCCTGCATCTCAGTCCTGGAAATGGTTGTTGGCCCTGAAAGATGTTTATTTATTCTGAAGAGAAAAGCAGATAAAGGTATTGTCAGAGGGAGGGAGAGCCAGATACACATTACTTGACATGTTTGCAATTAACAAGAAAACATACATCTGATGTTAGGTCCGCTATAACCGGGATTACAGGGAAGCCACGTCTGCAGTACTGTCGTTTAGGCATTGCCCTTGGATCTGTCTTGCTGAATAAGCCCATATGGTGCAGGTACCTCTCTTTTCTATACCTTCTCATTACCCCTAACCCCTGAATTCTCATTCATCAGATGTTCACGTCTTGCTGTTGGATGACATCATGATGCTGCTTCAGAAGCAGGATGAGCGATTAGTCTTGAAGTGTCAAAGTCGGACACTCACCCCAACGCCTGATGGGAAGCTGATGCTGAGTCCAATCATTAAGCTGAATACGGCAATGGCTAGAGAGGTGGCTACCGGTGAGTATTTGAAAGTCCAACCCCAGCCGAAACACTTTTTTAAAGCTTCGGATAGAGAAAGGAAGATTTGGAACCTTAGCAACGTTATCAATGCGGTCTATAAAATGCATTGGGGGAAATTCTTTCGCTTCCTCTTCCTTTGACACCGGGATAAGAAATTGGGTGTCATTGGAAAAGGAAAATATGGACAGTGATCAAAACCTGGCAGAGGGTCTACACTTGGGGTAGGCAACCCTGGAGAGGTGGAGATCTACCTGGACAACATGGAAGGTCATGGGGATGTGGCACACCTTTCTGATGGGAAGCTGATGCTGAGTCCAATCATTAAGCTGAATACGGCAATGGCTAGAGAGGTGGCTACTGGTGAGTATTTGAAAGTCCAACCCCAGCTGAAACACTTTTTTTTAAAGCTTGGATAGAGAAAGGAAGATTTGGAACCTTAGCAACATTATCAATGCGGTCTATAAAATGCATTGGGGGAAATTCTTTCGCTCCCACTTCCTGTGACACCGGGATAAGAAATTGGGTGTCATTGGAAAAGGAAAATATGGACAGTGATCAAAACCTGGCAGAGGGTCTACACTTGGGGTAGGCAACCCTGGAGAGGTGGAAATCTACCTGGATAACATGGTAGGTCACGGGGATATGGCACACCTTTTTCTTCAATGATCCACTAAGGTTCCATTAAAAATATACTGTATATGTATAAATATATATATTTATTATATAAATATATATACTGTACATGTCATTTAAAAATAAAAATGGAACGTATTCACACACTCCTCTACAGCCAATCACATAAAGCTCTGGGGTAGAAGACAGTTGCTAGGAGGAATCCAATGTATGAGCTGTCAAGCTTGTTTCAGTCACCGCACCCAGAACACGACTGTGCGTTCTGTACCTGCAGACCTTGGTTCGGTTTAGGAAGATGACATCTGGGCCTTTGACGCAGAGTGATCTGTCCTCTTCAGCCCTCATAAACTCCAGGAGGTGAAGCAACCGTGGTGGTGGTAGTGGGGGGTTTATAAAAAGAAAGCACAATGAAGACAGTTTAGGTCTTTTGGCATAGCATGGTCATGATCTACCCGTCCTAGCTGTGGTTAACCTGTTGCCTACCTACTGTCTAGACTCTAGACCTTCCCTTTTTAGAAATTTCCCCATTTTTTGCCTTCTAATAAGGGAGAATTCTTAATACTTCCTGTTCCTGTAACTCTTTATCACAGATATAGTAAATGATGGGAAATCACCCCAATGGGGGCACACAACTATAAAAACCCAACAGAGGTTCTACCAATTCTCCTATCCTTCTAAAAGGTAGGCTTTAAGAAAAAAGTCATTGGATTGTGCCAATTTCACTCCCCCAGGTGCTTTTGGATCAGCATGAAAAGAAATGATCCGCAACTCCTTACTTGCTCTTTAAAATCTTCAAAATGTATTCATTCTCCATAAAAGGCACAATGTTCAGACAGATGTTATTGCGTTTCAGCCATGTGGGCCTTTATCAGTGGCTTCTTTTGTAGACCAGGGGTCTACAAAAGTTTCTGAACAATGGGCCAGTTTACTGTCCTTCAGACTCAAGGGGGGGCTGGACTGTGGCCAGTAAGAGTAGAAAATGGCCTGGTGTCAGTGGGAGTAAACAATGCCATCATTGGTGTCAGTGGGGAGGAATAGTGCACTTTTGTTGGTATCACTGGGAGGAATAGTGCCTTTCATTGGTGTCGGTGAGAGGAATAGTGTCCCACTATTGGTGCCAGTGGGAAGAATAGTACCCCATTGTTGGTGTCAATGGGACACCTTTGTTGGTGTCAATGGGAGGAATAGTGCACCTTTGTTGGTGTCAATGGGGAGGAATAGTGCACCTTTGTTGGTGTCAATGGGGAGGAATAGTGCACCTTTGTTGGTGTCAATGGGGAGGAATAGTGCACCTTTGTTGGTGTCAGTGGGGAAGAATAGTGCCCCTCATTGGTGTCAGTGAGAGGAATAGTGCTCCATCGTTAATGTCAGTGGGAGGAATAGTACCTAAAGGGCCAGATAATGGGAAGTAAAGGGCCACATCTGGCCCTAGGGTCGCAGTTTGGAGACCAACATTCTAGACTCACAAAAACCTGAAGTTATCCTTAACCTCTCACATAACACAAATATGAGGTGGCAAGAAAAGTGGGCTGTTATGTGTCCACGGTGGCCTGAGCTTGTGAGCATTCTCCTGTGTTCTCCCAGCACAATGACCGTGCTGCCAATCCCAATCATGTGACCACTGTGAGAGCTGTGGTGCCTTCTGAGCATTAAGGAATATGTAGACCCAACATTTCATATTCCTGACAAGTGCCTGATGTAACATGTACTTGTATGAAAAAGAATCCTGTTCTCTTTGTATTGCTTCTTTTGTGTGAAATCCCTGGGTGTTCCTGCCAGTCCCTCTGCTTTCCTATTAAAAACTGACAACACTAGCCAGGGGAACACAGCATGGTCAGTTTTCTTCTCCAATGGTCAGCCTTGTCCTGACACACACCCCCTGCACAGCCATTGACTGGGAAGACCAGTGTGATGCTGTTCCCCTCCCCCAGCTTTCTGTGCAGCTGAGAAAAGAGGGAATGTGATCATTTATAAAAAAAAAAAAAAGGGTGAAAAAGATATTTTATATATTTGTTATATCTATACATAAATGTTTGCCTTTCATTTCCCATTTTAAACTGAATGGATTGTTTTACAAGGTGAGGGTTTACAATCACTTTAAAGCCCACTTAAAGGGGTTAAAGAGGTCAGTAATGCTCAGGTTAAAGGAAAACCTACAGGGAGAAAATATGGACGCTATCATTGCTGAGCTTTTTCAGAAAAATGCTGTTTTCATGGCAGTCATAGTGATCCAGGGGCTTCATTATGTTCTCAGTCACCAACTCAGAATAAGTAAGTAGATCAGGACTTCTGACTTCACGCCTAATTTCCTGATCTGCATACTTGTTCCAGGCCAGTATCTCCAAGTATTGAAGTCAGGTACAGCCAAGCAGCGAACACGTTCAAGAGCTCAGCAGTGATGGTACATGTATTTCTCCCAATACAGGTTTCTTTCAAAGTGTACCTGTCACTTGCAAAGCAGGTCAAAGCAATGCAGTATCTACTTATCCTGCACCCCTTGTATCCATACCTTAGTGTATGGGATGGGATTCTGTGCCTGATGCATTGATATTGGAGCACTTGCAGCTAACACCTTCTGTCCTTTTTGGAAGGACCTTGCAGGTCACATTGAGATTTTTAACAGGTAACTAGCAATTCTGATGATCCAATTGTCACAAAGGGCTGTGAGAGAGGGACTGGGTCAGACATTTTATTCCCAGCCTAATTCTAAGAATTATAGAAAATGGCTACAGTTGGGGAAACACAACATACCTTTTCCTGCTCTTGACTTGTAATGGTGGGAACATCACACATTTTCCAGTTCTCTAATGAGTCCACAAGATGGCTCCATTCACCATACAAAAGTGTCACACCTATCATGTACACAGGCAAGGTTCACACCTATGCAGGTTGCGTTTGAGCCATTTCTGCATTTTGTTTTGCGCCTGCGTTTTGCCGCTATGTTGATGCGTTTGCATTTTTTTTTCCATTTGTTTTATTTTTCTTGTTGCTAGGCAGATTTAAAATGCAGCAAAAATGCAATACATGCTATTCCACAGCATTTCCATTGAAGTCCCTAGAACCAAAAACGCAACTTTTTGCTTTAAAAAAAGTGCCTGACCCTTTCCAAAAAACGCACCAGGTGAAAATGCACAGATGTGACTATGCCCCTTAGGAAATCATGTTAAATAGACTGTACTGCCTTTCTGTAAAACACAGCAGAAAACACTTAGGTGTGAACCTAGGGTCACTGACAGCTAACACTGTAATATCTGGTCTCATTGCAGATAACAAGGCCTTCTTTGTCATATTCAAGTGGGAGGACAGACCGCAGATCTATGAACTGGTGGCCCCCACTACATCTGAGAAAAACATGTAAGTTCATAGGAAAAGCTTTGGCTTGTTTTTTTTTTTTCTCCACAGACAGTTCCACTTTAATCCTGTTGGAGGGGCTATATGTATTGTTTCTTTTTTTTTTTTACAGCGCACAAAATTCACTGATATGTTATAACATAAGTACTCTTATACCAGCATTGGTAACCCTTTGTCAGCTCTTTAAGGGAGTGTTGTTTTAAAGCGGAGTTCCACCCTAAAGTGGAAGCTTCGCTTGCTTGCCTCCTTCCCCCCCTCCACTGCCATATTTTGCACCTTAAGGGGGAGCGAATACCTGATTTTGACAGCTACCTGCTCCCACTTCTGGCTCAGTCCGGCCCCCCTCCTTCCTCCCGCAGTCTCCTGGGAACCTTCACAGGTCCCAGAAGACTGCCGGACCAATCAGGATCTGCAGCACGACTCACGCATGCACAGTGGGCATCCAGCTGTGAAGCCACAAGCTGTCACAGCCTGGTGCCCACAGTTGAGATGCCAACGCCGGGGAGAGAAGGAGAAAAGGTGACGGGGTGGGTGAGCAGGTCGCTGGACCCTGGGACAGGTAAGTGTGTGTTTTTAAAAGTCAGCAGCTACAGTTTTGTAGCTGCGGACTTTTAATAAACACAAAAACGACTGGAACTCAACTTTAACACTGGGAAGTGGCTTTCCGATCAGTTGTTTGGTGTAATTGGCTGTTGCAGCAGTCACATGGTCGGGAGCCCATCTGAACGCAAGCAGTGACCAGATGACAGCTTTGTCAGTGTGCTGGGGGTGTGCAGATAACTTGGTCTCAGCACAGAACCTCAAAGCCCCTTGGATGCATATGTGCAACAACTGGACATTAAGGCCCACCTGCCCTGCCGACCCATAATATTAATGCAAATCTCCAGGCAAATACAGCAAATACCCTTAAAGTGGTTGTACACTCCTTCATATACCTCAGGTGGTACACAAAGATTAAACCAATCCTCCTTCATAAGTTGTACCTGTTTATCTGCAGTATTCTTTATATCTGTTCAGAGTGCTGAAATTTCAGTGAGGAGAGATCTGAGAACTGATTGGAGGGAAAGGACACACCCATCCTTCACACAGCACACAGGGATATAGCTGAGGCTGTCAATCTGCTGGAGCTCCCTCCCGTCACCATTTTTCTATTGGTGTCAGGAAAACTTGTCAGAAGTGATTCATGCTGATAGCAGAGGAAGGAGGCAGCAGACAGAAATGACACTTAGTGCTCTGGATTGAGACCAGTGCACACTATAGAGGGGTGTGTTTTGTTCATATTTCATATCTGAGGTTTACAATCTCTTTAAGTCCAAGTATTTTTACATTAAAAATGTTCTAGTACAGCTGATATCTAAAGAAACACCTGAACTCTGAAAGCTGTGCCCAAAAATAAAAGGCAGGCAAAGGGGAAAAGGACTAGTCATGAGTATTGCCTGGGGTCTCCCTACAGCTGATCTTTCCCTTTTAGTGGCTTGCCATGCCTTGCTCTTTGCTGTGTGTCTTTAGGTCACATGACATATCATTAGTCGTAGGCAGGTTACAGAAGAAATAAAATAATACAGACAAGCTCATTGAGGTGATGGTGCTCATTCATAATTCAATGAACAGGCAAACAGTCCAAAAGCTGCAATAGATAACAGAGAGTGGTGAGTTGTGTGCTACCGTCCCGTAACATTACATGCATTCTTTTTTTACAGCTGTTTTCTCTGGTCAAGCAAAGTACTGGACAAGCATTTTTTTTTTACAGCTGGTTTTCTCCAGGAGAAAGGAGAAATTCACACGAAAACACAGGCAGAAATTGCTAAATTCCTTTGTACCTCAATTTAACTAATTTAAAATGCTTCAGAGCCAAGCAAACCTTATTGGTACCATTCAGAAGAAAAAACGATGATCCCAAACCTTTTCATCCAAGAAAAAAACAAGAACAAGGAACCTCCACCATAATCCGCGATTCCATTTAAAGTACAAAATCAAAAGTCCAGTGACCGGTGGCCATGAAACCAGAAGACCTGATCTGTCCGAATGAAGCCCCCTCAAAAAGGAACAAAAAATGGAATACTGCATCCTACCATCTGGTCACAAAACCCGAAGAAGAATGAAAAGAAGAAGAAGAAGAATGAAAAGAAGAAAGACAGAAGAGAAAAGAGAAGAATTTGGGATAGAAGAAGAAGAAAGAGAAAGAAAGAAGAAGAAATGAAAAGAAAGAAAGAAAGAATGAAAGATAAGAAGAAGAATAATCATTAGAACAAAAAGAATGAGTCAAAATTGATGAAGCATAAAGCGCAAGTAAAGAAAAGAAATCAAGAAGAATGAAACAAGAAATGAAAGTTAGAGCTGAAAATGAAAAGACCTTGCCAATAAAGAAGAATGAGAAAGTTCTCTGGGAAGTTTAAAAGAAGGGGCATTTTGATGCCAAATGAAAAGAAGAAGAAGCATCCTAGCCCAAGACCTTCCTAATAAATCCGCCGATGATCCCTCAGCCCCCTGAGAGTTAAGTCCAGTACAGTTCCTGTCCTGTACCTTTTTATGAATCTATTTACAACAAACCATATAGGTGGAATCTTCTGCTGTCATGTAAAAGGACATTTTGAGCAATATAAATGTACATCTCCATGGGTCGGAAGGGGCCAGTTCATACTAGAAGAAACCCCTTTTGCGGTGCATTTAACCTACTTAAACCAGCTTCCTAACACATACACAATAGGCCAAAGAATCTGCTGCATTTATGTCGGAGCATCCCAACGCATGGTAGTGTGCATTGAATGGTCCCACAGTACACCAAATTCAGATACAGCAGCTCAGTGTGTGAATGGGCCGTAAAGATCCCTTATCTCCAGGGTGAATCCTAATATTCTAAATTGAAGGCTTTGGTCACACCAGTCAGAGCAAAGCAACACATTTCCTTTAACTCTCCACCCTTAACATGCTTTTACTTAGCTTTCCTTCACTTCTCTACTGCTTACTGCTGGGTGCCAAAGGTAAAACTTGGTCTTCCAGATCTGTAGGAGCATGTGAGTTGTTCCTTGGGGGTTATTTACTAAAACTGAAGAGTGCAAAATCTGGTGCAACTCTGCATAGTAACCAATCATCTTCCAGGTTTTATTGCCAAAGCTTCATTGAACAAGCTGAAGTTAGAAGCTGATTGGTTACCTTGCACAGCTGTAACAGATTCTGAGAGCACCAGTTTTCGTAAATCTACCTGTATGTGTAAAAGACTGGGCCAATAAGCAAAGTCACAATGGTAGTCTACAGCTACGACTCCAGTGACGTCTAGGTTCCACAGGACTTTACTTTTGCTGCTGATGGCTAAATAGAGAATTAGAGGAGCAGAATGGAGGTACGTGTGTGCTGCTGGCAAGGGCCAAGTTAAAGTCAACCTATTGCTTTGCCCTGTGTGGTCAAAGCACAGGTTTAGGGGAGGTCCAGGTTTAGGTAGGTCTTCCAAGGAAAGTTATACCAAGAAACGAACTTGAATTCATGAAGGTGTGTATGAATGGATTTATGAGGTGTTCAAGACTGGGTGGCTATGAAGATCTCTACAATAAAAAGTACCTTGTGGAGGCTGATAAATGGATATCTGGTCTTCATGGGCACACGATCAACATTATAATGGAACACCATAGGACTGACATATGACTGAGGTGCTCGATTTGACTCATCATTGATTCATGGTCAAGGAAGATTGCTCACATTCATAGCGGGTGCAGTGAGTCCAGTGAGGCCACTCTCAGCACATACACAATACCCCATAGCTGGAGGACCCTGAGTTTAAAATCCAGGTGTGAGAAAAGTTGATTCATTTAGTTTTGATTCGTTTTGCGAATGAAAATGTATTTTTCGGAGATTCAGATGTATCCAAATTTCTGAATGGACATAGTAACAAATGGCAACCAATCTGGAAAAAAAAAGTTGTAACGAAAAAATATTAATGCATTCATTTAATTTGGATTTTCAAATTTGGTTGATAATATCAAATTTATTATGCATAGCTGGTTGTTAAGCAGTGGGCATCTGCCGCGTCTTTACCGACCATGCTATCAGAGGAAGGAAGGGTGGAACCTCTGAGCTCCAAAACACATTGGCTGTTTTGTTATCTTCCTGTTTGAATTAACACCATTTCTAAAGACTTTTGGACTCTGATTTCCTTGGTCCTAGAAACTTTTTTTGTACCCTAATTAAGCGCTATACAACAGACCTTGATACAACGATCCACACCTGTGACAGTAGGTGGGTTTAATGCAGAACTGGGAGGGCCTAGAATAAATAGGGAGGAGCTTAGCACTAAGTCACAGGCATATACACTTTTGCAATACAACTACAGGTATATTTACTGTTTTACCTGTAATTCTGTTTAGCTATACAAAGTGCTTATCACTACTCGTTTGGGAAGGAATCATCAGCATCATCCTATTGCTCATTCATTGTCCAGTAAGCAGACAGGTAACTGTAACACGCAGATGAGAAACAGTAGGGTGGTCACCCTGGCTGTGCAGTGTGGTGAAGTGTGTGTGAATCACAGGACTGGCTGGGCAGGATAAAAGATCCGGATCATAATGGTTCATAGGAATGTAAGATAAAGGGAGTACACTTGACAAAGATATATCCATTCTATAAAAGGTCATGTTAGTAGTCTTGTTTATTCTATATTAATCCTCCATACCTTCTTTTGCAGATTTAGTGAGAATGGCGCTTCCCTGAAAGAGTCTGTTACTAAAGAGGGTAAGAGATATCAAATTATACCCAAACACTCTTTACTTAACATTTCACTTGCTATTATTTCAATAGAAGGAGCTTTCCATTCATTAATCCATGAACAGAGAAGCTCTGCAGTTTAGTGATGTTTTAAAGCCAATTGGTTACCATTACAGCCAAGCAAACAGCATTTTGTGAAGGATTTCCTCAGTGGCAACGTCCAAAATACTTCATAGCATGTTCTTGTAGTTTACTATACTTTCTCATAGTGTTTATCCCTCCCTCCTTCCTGTTCCTCCCGCTCAACTATAGAGTACACATACATACGTTTTACATACTCAAAGGGTTGTCTGGCCAGTCCATTGACATCACAGGTCTTTGCTCATCTCCTGCTTCAGGAAGCTGCAATACCATACAATAGTAGTCTGACGCCCCCCTTTGCCCCAGATTCATGGCTGAAGTGGGTTGAATGATGCTGACCATCATTCAACCCAGAAGACTGAGAACGTCTAGTGGCAGAAAAGAAGTATTGTGCGTTGACAGCTTCAGGTTGAAGGTGAAAATTGTTTCTATCCTGTGTTTCAAAATCGTCTCTTGCACTAGTTGCATCTGCACAGTAAGTCCTTATACACGTCACCCTACAGTAAAGACATTTGGAGTAAGGACCCAATCACATTTTTTGTAGGGATGCTGTGCAGGCGTGGCCAAGGAAGAACAAGTTTTTGGACTCCGTAATGTTAACGCTGGAAGAGGCAACCTCCATTATGAAGATCTGTGCACTTGGGGGGAAATCTGGGTTAGAGTAGGGACAAACTGAAGTTGTACCTTCAGAAATTAAAAGTATAACATCAAAGTGTATTTTAATTCATTTGATTAAAATAAATTTGATAAAATGACTAATATTATAATAATATTGACATATCTGGTGTATGAAGAGCATCTGCCTTGAGGGTTTCTTTTGTTTGTTTGTTTTTTTTGATAAATGGCATTTTTAACTTTTTTTTACTTTTGAGTACATGGTTGTATTTGCTAATGCTGTGTACAGTTTTATAACATTTGTTTTACAGTTTTATTCCATCTTTTCCAGAAAAAGAGTCTTTGGAGGAAGCTGGCTTAGGACAGGAAAGTCTTGGGGACCCAACCCTAATAGAACATCTCACCCACAACTTGGGAGGAAATGTAGCCAGTGCAGCTCTGGAAGAGGGTAAGTTGGGTCCAGGCATTTGACTTTAACTATGAACCTTGCTGGAGATTAATATAAAAATAAAGAGCTGAGAAATCGCACAACATGACCAGTCAACACAGCCTCCTTTTCTCACAATGGGAGAGCAGGACATGTAAAAAATAAAAATTTCACCAATACCACATTCTCAAATGTGTATCTGCTTCAGGTCAAGGTCAAAGGTTTCCCAAGGCCCTTATACGAACCTGTACTGTACTGTGCCTCCCTCTGTTCCTCCCCCTCTCCCCTCCTCTCCTCTCTCCCCCTCTCCCCTCCTCTCCTCTCTCCCCCTCTCCCCTCTCCCCTCCTCTCCCCTCTCCCCTCCTCCCCTCTCCCCTCTTCCCCTCCTCTCTCCCCCTCTCTCCCCTCTCCTCTCCCCTCTCCCCTCTCCTCCTCCTCTCTCCCTCTCCTCTCCCTCTCCCCCCTCCTCCCCTCTTCCCCCTCTCCCCTCCTCTCCCCTCCTCTCCTCTCTCCCCTCCTCTCCCCTCTCCCCTCTCCCCTCCTCTCCTCTCTCCCCTCCCCTCCTCTCCTCCTCTCCCCTCTCCTCTCTCCCCTCCTCTCCTCTATCACCCCTCTCCCCCTCCTCTCCTCTCTCCCCTCTCCCCTCCTCTCCCTCTCTCCCCTCTCCCCTCCTCTCCTCTCTCCCCTCTCCCCTCCTCTCTCCCCTCTCTCCCCTCTCCCCTCCTCTCCTCTCTCCCCTCTCCCCTCCTCTCCTCTCTCCCCTCTCCCCTTCTCTCCTCTCTCCCCTCCTCTCCCCCTCCTCTCCCCTTCTCTCCCCTCTCCCCTCCTCTCTCCCCTCTCCCCTCCCTCCTCTCCTCTCTCCCCCCCTCTCCCCTCCTCTCCCCTCTCTCCCTCCTCTCCCCTCTCCCCTCCTCTCCCCTCTCCCCCCCTCTCCCCTCTCCCCCTCCTCCCCCTCTCCCCCCCTCTCCCCCCCTCTCCCCCCCTCTCCCCCCCTCTCCCCTCTCTCCCTCTCCCCCCCTCTCCCCTCCCCTCTCTCCCCTCTCCCTCTCTCCCTCTCCCTCCTCTCTCTCTCCTCTCCCCCTCTCCCCTCCTCCCCTCTCCCCTCTCTCCTATCTCCTCTCCCCTCTCTCCTCTCTCCTCTCTCCTCTCCCCTCTCTCTCTCTCCTCTCTCCCTCTCCCCTCTCTCTCTCTCCCTCCTCTCCCCCTCCCTCTCTCCCCTCCCCTCTCTTCTCTCCCTCTCTTCTCTCCTCTCCCCTCTTCTCTCCTCTCCCCTCTTCTCTCCTCTCCCCTCTTCTCTTCTCTCCCCTCCCCTCTCCCTCCCCTCACCTAACTGGCTTCTAGGGCTGATTTTTTTTTTTTCCACCCTCTCTAAGCTCTGCTGTATGAACTGTACAGGTATGCAATAGGGTTAAACTAAGCCAAATTCAGATTCTTGCACTGCCTTCATTTAAAAAAAACCCCATAAATGTAATATAGTTATGCACTGTTGTATTCCTTTCCCTTATGTTTCTGGTTGCTTATGTGATTCTGAACTGAAGTATATACTGCAATGGGACCTCCTGATATTAATATATCCTCCACAGTCAGTGCTTACACCTGTACTGTATGTTTTACACTTGAACTATTGATCTATTGGACCAAAACACATCCATTTAATAATGTATTAAAGAGCAGCAATAATTTGTGCATTTTATCTACCAGGGGCTCAGTGTAAGCAGAAGTGGGAAACTGTGTAGTCACAAAAAGATTGCAGATTTTCTAATATTATATAGTGGATGGTTTATATGGTAGTTTAGAATAGCTGGAATTTTAGTTTGGAAAGTGGTGTAGCCTTACCCATTCTCTTCTTTCCCTCCTCCCAGTGACCGTGCTGAAGAGGTTGCTGGTACGTAACATTCGCCTTAGCCTAGATGCGGAGTCATTCCCAAACTTGGAGAGTTGGTCTGACTTCTCCCGCGAAGAAACCGGAGCATCTCAAAATGTTCAGGATGAAAAGGCCGCCAATGGAGACCAGGAAGGTGATCACTCTGTTCCAGAGTCTGAGAGAGAAGGCCCGGGAGAGAACGGTGAGCGCTCCAGATGTATGGGTCTTCCGTCTGGCTACTTGACAGGCTTCGAGGTTGTAAGATTTGCTTTGGGTGGTACTTATGATCTCTTTTATAATTAACATTTTTAGATGTCAATATTGGACACATTTTTATATTCATTAAACTGGCCTTCCAGACACAACTAAAATATTCACTCCATGAAACAGGTGGGATCCTGTAATGTCGCGGTGTAGCTTGTGGGATCCTGTAATGTCGCGGTGTAGCTTGTGGGATCCTGTAATGTCCCGGTGTAGCTTGTAGTAGTTGTCTTGGTGCGTAAATTGAAACAATGAACTTCTCTTATTTGCTTCCTTTTGGCCTGTTAACCAATTGCACCAGATGGACGTACCCGTATCTTCTCAGGTTTCAGTGGTTATACTTGGGTCATGCCTGCAGCTGCAATTTGACCTCAGTATTTTTTTTTATTTCAGCCAGCGGTGCTGAATAATGTAAAATCAATCTTAGCAGCTATACTGCAGCTGAATCATTTTTACATGCGGTGGAGGAGAGAAAGAGCTGTAGAGTTTGGTGCAGATACATGTGTGATGGTGTAAGTGTCCAATGTGCCCATGCAGTTCATTGAGAGCCTCAAGAAGAAAGGCCAATACTGCCTTTACTCAACACCATTAACCTCTTGTACCGCATATGAGCAGTGACACAGGGTAGGCTTTAATCCCAAATGCCACACATATGCATCAATGAGAGCATGCTCCCAGCACAGTGATCCTTCCCGCACCTCAAGCTTACAGACTTTTATTAAAGGGATGCCTGAGCTGGGTTGGAAGGGGTTAAAAATATATAAAGGATGAGACACAAACAATATAAATATTTAACTGAGTTAACAAATCGACAAAAGAGGCATGCAACATAATGGTTCCATGTTTATTTTATATGAGCAATGTTATCTGTGCCTGGAGTTTAGCTGCAGTTGTGATCGTAGTTGTGGCTTGGCTGCAGGTAGATAAACATGAGCAACTTTGAATGTCTGATCTCCTCTCTACAGGTCAAGACCTGGCCTCCAGGGATATTGGAGAGTCTCTATGCGCTCCCATAGTACTATCTCAGGAGCAATCAGAAGAGGTTAGAAGGCATATCCTACTACTGGAGGAGAAGGTCCACCAACTTAAAGTAAGTATTGATGGCCTGTATTGTGTACACCAATGACTTATGGTAAATATTTTTAAATGTATTTAAGTTTGGAAAAAAAATTGGGCTTGTGCATTGAATATAGCTTAAGCAGATAAGAGATGTCTATCAAGCTGTGAACCCCTGGAATAGCATAGAGGCCCTGTGCAGTATGTGTGCCATGTTTAGAGCCTTCTGCAGCCTTGGATCAGCAGTTTTAGGTAGGGAGGCAAGCACTTACAGCCTGAAACATGTTGTAGCTCTCTTTCAAAGTGGGCTCATGGGCTATACAGTTTAGTGCAATTTGTAAATAATGATCCATCATACTCTGCACTCCTTTCCCTCACATACCACCTTCAGCCATCTCATCTATCTCCTTTAAAGCACACATCACCCTTTGCCTTTCATTTTGCACTCCTCTCTTGCAATACTCTCCTCAGCCATATCCTCCATACTCCTGTCCTGTACCCACCTACATACCCTCTGTACTCCTTTCTGGCACATACCAACTGTCACCATACCCAATTCACTTTCTCTCCTATGTTTACTTCCCCCACTATACTCTCTGCACTACCTTCCTGTACTTTCCAACTCCTTTCCCACTGTAAACACTGCGCCCCTCTCCTGTACATACCGCCTGCCACCATACACTCTACACTCCTTTCTAGCACATACTGTCACCACCTGCCCCCAAACTGCACCCTCTGCACCCCTCTCCTGTACATACCACCTGCCGCCATACCCTCTACTTCTCTCCGGTACATACCACCTGCTACCATACCCTCTGTACTTCTCTCCTGTACATACCACCTGCTACCATACCCTCTGTACTTCTCTCCTGTACATACCACCTGCTACCATACCCTCTGTACTTCTCTCCTGTACATACCACCTGCTACCATAACCTCTGTACTTCTCTCCTGTACATACCACCTGCTACCATACCCTCTGTACTTCTCTCCTGTACATACCACCTGCTACCATACCCTCTGTACTTCTCTGCTGTACATACCACCTGCTACCATAACCCTCTGTACTTCTCTCCTGTACATACCACCTGCTACCATACCCTCTGTACTTCTCTCCTGTACATACCACCTGCTACCATACCCTCTGTACTTCTCTGCTGTACATACCACCTGCCGCCATACCCTCTGTACTTCTCTCCTGTATATACCACCTGCCGCCATACCTTCTGTACTTCTGTACATACTACCTGCCGCCTTACCCTCTGTATTTCTCTCCTGTATATACCACCTGCCGCCATACCCTCTGTACTTCTCTCCTCTACATATTGCCTGCCGCCTTACCCTCTGAACTGCTCTCCTGCACGAACTACCCACCACCATACTCTGTGTACACCTCTCCAGCACATACTGGTCATTGTCATACACGCACTCACCTACAGATATTCCCCACAAAAACAATTATTATTATACAAGATTTATATAGCGCCAACAGTTTGCTCAGCGCTTTACAATATAATGGGATACAATACAGCAACAATACAGTTCAATACAAGAGGGAAAGGAGGGCCTGATCCTTGGAGCTTACAATCTAGGAGATTCTTTAGTAATACTTGAAATGCATCCAACTTTGCCCATTCACACTTTTTGCTGGTAATGTAAAAGTCAACTCCATCCAAAGCCACTGTTTTACTACACTGCTCCAAAAAAATTAAAGTAACACTTTGAAAACACATCAGATCTCAATAGGGAAAAATATCACGCTGGATATTTAAACTGATATGGACGGGGTAATGTGTTAGGACCGTAAGGATGCCCCATCGTTTGATGGAAATAAAAATTATCAACCTACGGAGGACTGAACTCAAAGACACCCCAAAAATCAAAGTGAAAAAAATGATGCAGCAGGCTAGTCCATTTTGCTGAAATTTCATTGCAGCAACTCAAAATGGTCCTCAGTAGATTGTATGGCCCCCATGTGCTTGTATGCATGCCTGACAACGTCGGGGCATGCTACTAATGAGACAACGGATGGTGTCCTGGGGTATATCCTCCCAGATCTATACCAGGACATCACTGAGCTCGTGGACAGTCTGAGGTGCAACCTGGCAGCGTTGGATGGACCGAAACATGATATCCCAGAGGTGTTCTATTGGATTTAGATCAGGTGAGCATGGGGGCCATTCAATGGTATCAATTCTTTCCTCCTCCAGGAACTGCCTGCATACTTTCGCCACATGAGGCCGGGTATTGTTGTGCACCAGGAGGAACCCAGGACCCACTGCACCAGCGTAGGATCTGACAAGGGGTCCAAGGATTTCATCCCGATACCTAATGACAGTCCCTCCATGGATATGCCTCCCCAGACCATCACTGACCCACCACCAAAACGGTCAAGCTGAACCATGTTACAGGCAGCATAATGTTCTCCATGGCTTTCACGTCTATCAAGTGCTCAGGGTGAACCTTCTCTCATCTGTGAAAAGCACAGGGTGCCAGTGGTGGACCTGCCAGTTCTGTTTTTTTAATGGCAAATGCCAATTTAGCTCTGTGGTGCCGGGCAGTGAGCACAGGGCCCACTAGAGGATGTGGTGTCCTCAGGCCACCCTCATGAAGTCTGTTTATGATTGGTCAGAGACATTCACACCAGTGGCCTGCTGGAGGTCATTTTGTAGGGCTCTGGCAGTGCTCAACTTGTTCCTCCTTGCACAAGGAGCAGATACAGGTCCTGCTGATTGGCCCTCTACGGCCCTGTCCAGCTCTCCTAGAGTACCTGACTGTCTCCTGGAATCTCCTCCATGCTCTTGTGACTGTGCTGGGAGACACAGCAAACCTTCTGGCAATGGCACGTATTGATCTGCCATCCTGGAGGAATTGGACTGCCTGTGCAACCTCTGTAGGTATTGCCTCATGCTACCAGTAGTGACACTGACCCTAGCCAAATGCAAAACTAGTGAAAAACAGTCAGAAAAGATGAATAGGTAAAAAAATGTCAGTAGCCTCCACTTATAAAACTATTCCTGTTTTGGGGGTCATCTCATTGTTGCCCATCTAGTGCACCTTTTGTTAATTTCATTAACACCAAAGCAGCTGAAACTGATTAACAACCCCCTCTGCTAATTAACTGATGAGTTCAATATCCCAGGAGTTTCAATGACTTAGTGCTATACTCTGATTAAAAAGTGTTCATTTAATTTTTTTGAGCAGTGAATAATGGTTGATTATCCTCTGCGGACTTCTCGTCAAATGTGTCACTAGTGAGATTTACCCCTGACAATCTCATAATCGCCATATGATTTTGTAATGGTTTTTATTGGGCTGAACTTTTTATTGGGCTGAACTGGAAATGCTTGAGGGCATATCAGGCAACTGGAGGACTGAGAGGTACAGGAAGCCAGCATGGGATTATCTAGCTTGCATTCGCACAATTTTGAAATATCTGTTTTAGTTGGAGTTGACCTTCGAGTGGAAACGTCTAACCTTTTTTTTTTTTTATCACTGTATACCTCTTGTTCTTTGATTCACAGTTGATAGAAGAGGATTACCTACACCTGCAGAGGACAGTCACCAAATTTTCAGTATCACAAAGTAGTTTTACATGAAACAGGTGAGTGAGCAGAGTCTTGGGGAGATAAGTAAACATAAAAGGGGACAGAGGGTACTTGAGGGATTTTTTAATATAACATTGGGTATGTTTACAAATTCACATATTTTTCAATTCAAGCTAAAATGTACTGTGATATACTGAAGCAGGGCATGATCCCCTCCCTTTGGAGAATGGGCCGCAGGGCAGTATTCCAACATATTAACGACACCAAACACACCTCCAAGATGACTACACTGCCTTGCTAAAGAAGTTGAGGGTAAAGGTGATGGACTGGCCAAGCATGTTTCCAGACCTAAACCCTATTGAGCATCTGTGGGGCATCTTCAAATGGAAGGTGGAGGAGCACAAGGTCTCTAACATCCACCAGCTCTGTGATGTCGTCATGGAGGAGTGGAAGAGAACTCCAGTGGCAACCTGTGAAGCTCTGGTGAACTCCATGCCCAAGAGGTTTACGGCAGTGCTGGAAAATAATGGTGGCCACACAAAATATTGACACTTTGGGCCCAATTTGGACATTGTCACTTAGGGGTGTACTCACTTTTGTTGCCAGCGGTTTAGACATTAATGGCTGTGTTGAGTTATTTTGAGGGGACAGAAAATGTACACTGTTATACAAGCTATACATGCACTACGTCACATTGTAGCAAAGTGTCATTTCTTCAGTGTTGTCACATGAAAAAAATATAAAATATTTACAAAAATGTGAGGAGTGTACTCACTTCTGTGAGATATTGTACTTAGTAATGCACTAGTTGTCGAAACAATTGTGGACACCTGAACATCATATTTATATGAACTTGTTGGACATCCCATTCCAAAACCATGAACATTAATATTGAGTTTGTCCATTTTTCCCCTAGAACTACTTCCATTCTTTTATAGGGTGTCTATAGATATTTGTGCCCATTCAACTAAAAGAGCATTTGTGAGGTCAGATACCGATGTGGGATGAGAAGACCTTGTTTGCAGTTTTCTGTTCAGGCAACTTGAGTTCCTCCTCACTGTACTCCTCAAACCATGTCTTCATGGAACTGGCTTTGTGCACAGGGGCACAGTTATGCTAGAACAGAAGATGATCCTTTTTCCCATCCTTTGGTAAATCTGAGTGCTGCTAATCATTTGCGGCCCCCTTCTGTCTTTGTGCACTCCGGCAATGGCTGCATGGCATTTCTGAGGGCAAGTTTCCTGATGGTGACAACAGTGGGCCATTCTTGCATGATGTGTGTTCAAATGACCATCTGTAGTTTCCATCGGAAGCCCATGTGATGGGTTGACAATGCAGGGCACAGATGGGAGACGGGGACAGAGTGTTCCCACCTTTGTTTACAAAACAAGAACCTTCATGGCATGGTCACCAGGTATCATTTGCATATATTATGTTGCAGATATTAAAATGACTTTTTTTAAGTTTTAATTATTACATTTAGATCTCTTTTTTTTTAGAGATTTTTATTTTTATATCCACAGGTGAGATATTGCCTCAAATTACCCTTTCATCACTTCCATGTACCCCAAGAAGGAGAGCAACTCAACGCCGAAACCTCAGTCTTGGTGTTTCCTTTGGGACAGATAATTATGCGGGTGGGACTAAACAAGACTGCCAGTCATAGGATGTGGGTGGGCGACTTTTTTTAAAGGAGGCTCCTGTTTTATTTCTATTGGTCAAGACACAAGTGCCTTTTTGTTTTTATATGTAATTTTTCAGGGACTGTAGCAGGGTGGGGAGATCTAAAATCTCTCTCAATATATATATTATGTATTCTCTCTTTTTTTTTTTTTCTTCAAGTATATATATCAGATATAGAGATTGTTATTGTAGCTGTACAGTAAAATGATCTTGTTTGCTTATTAGAGAAAAGACTGGTCTTTCAGTGCCTCCTCCCTTAAATTTTATAAGCTATACAAAGGATATAAAATTCTACTGGTTTCCAATCCAAAGCAGATGGGACCATGAAGCCATAATCTAACACTTCAGGTAAACCAATGAGTTATGAGATGAATGGCTTAATAGGACAAGGTTTTGTAAGCGAAAGTAATGCGGTACGTTTACTAGCAGATAACAGAATGGGATGGTGTGAAAACTTAAAGGCTCACTCTATCCATTATTGGTATTTCCATTTTGAGTTGGTGTGTCGGCAGGTTGAATCTTCTACTAGCTTAATATATCAGGGGCTCCAGAGAAAGATCTCGAGGCTATACTTTCTCCGATATCCCTTTTTTATCTCATTCTTATTTGAGAAATCTAATAGAGTTCTCCAGTGGATGTCAGAGAGTGGGGGGGGGGGGGGAGCTGAGAATTCCAGGTTGCCCCATCTCCCTTGTCCCATGTCAGAAGTCAACTGAGATTCATCTTGCCTGCTCTTTAAGACAGTCAGAGAGCATACAAAATGCATAGAGGATGTAGATTGTGGCTGAACCAATCAGTGCACTAGGAACTACTGATGTTGTTGAGATGGCAAATGCTTTGTGCTTCTAGGAACAGCAGTGCAGCTAGTTTCTAGGGGATCAATAGGTTGCCTTTATTAAATGATGGTCATGGCTAGTATGCCTATACTCCATAGGGGTGTCTTTGTCATTATCAGTCCTCATTACTATTCACAGGTCAATAGAACTGAGCAGTGTGTCCTTACTGGCTAATGTTGGTCTGATGTGGACTTGCTGTCCTTGAGATTTAATTTCTGCTGTTGCTGTGGTAATGCACATATTAAGTCCTTAATGCATAAGCTTGTTGGACCAACAGTTCAGTTCCTGTCAATGAATCAGATTCTCCCTCTCATTTGTCCATACCACACTGGAAGCATGAAAGGGAGCATTTGATTGGTCCCCTTGGCTAGCAAGTCCTATCCTTCCATTAGCCAAATTTCCAAATAGTTTTGTATTAATAGCTGTTACATTTGCTTGCTTATAAGTACAGTCTCTTATAGTAACAGACCAAGATTCATTGCTCACTTGTCTGAGTTATAAGATACTCAGTTTGGTTGCTAGGCATTACTATTATTTTAGCTCAGCCTTGCTCTGACTATACCGAGACACCCGCCAGGAAGCATCCTTCGCTTATACCTATAGCCTTACAGGCTTAGGATGCACATTTTGTACCCTTGAGTCCCCAAAGTATAATTCTCATCTTGTTACATTGTAGGGGCAATGCTGGGTCTGCTGTGTTGGGTTAACTGGCAACTGAGGACTGGTAATATGACAGTTATCACCTATGCTCTCTGTGCAAGACAGTGGTTGTGCCAAAACAATATCATGTTATTATGGATTGTTATGTATGTGTATTAAACAAACGGTGTAGATAAGTGTTTTGTCAATGGTTTTAGAAGAAGCCACAGATTTCTTTTTCTCATGGTAGAGTTATCACTTGAAACATTTGTGCTTTAAAGTTTGAGTCCGCCCAGAACTTTTATTTCACTTGTTTCTGGATTTTGATAGGTTGACTCACATGCTTGCTTCTAGAATTGCTTAGGGGCTCTAGCTGAGGAATCTCTCTTGGAGTTGCCTAATCCGCTCCTTTCTGTGGCTGTTCTAGGCCAAGGATATGCGTCTTCTTCCTGCTGTATCCTATTTAATGTAACATAAATGCCAAATCGAACAGTGAGAGTGGGAACCATTGATAATGGTTGTTGTAGATGATGCTAGTTGGGAATTCGGGTGTGGACCTAACTTCAAGTCCTTAAAAAGCCAGTTGGAGATTAGCCCTGCTTGAATCTATGTAGAACTGATATGAGTTTTGGGCAAGAAGATCCTTTTGTTATGTGCATAAAGAAAGAAAAAAAACTCCCACCTCTTCATCGTTACCTGAGCTGTTGGCAACCGATAACAAAACAGAAGAGGCAAGGAAAGTTGTAGCAGATTTATCATGGAAATTACTTTAACTGGACCGATCTTATATGTTTCAAGAGTCTGCTTACATGGCACCCAAATCTGCAGAGTGATGGAGATCTTGAATTTTTGGAAAATTATTTATAGCCAGTGTTTATTTGCCAAATAGATGCTTTGTGTGGAATGATGTAGTAAACTGGGGCAACTTGCAGCTGTGGTGGAAGTAGGTTTTCTCATGGGCCCTTTCTAGCCTTCTAGACTTGCACCAAAGACTCCAAGGCCCTCCATTGCCAATCTATGATGACGAATCTGAGGAATCGCCATGTTCAGGTTTGCACAATGAGGGGAATTATATATATATTTGTATTTTTTAGCCCAGTGTGGCTTCCTATTCCGTTTGGTTATTTAAACATCATTCCTATATATTTATATATATATATGAAGCTTTTTTTTTTTTATTTGTATTTTTTTTGTTTTATATTTGAAGAGCGTGTGGCTTGGAGGTATCTGTTTGGGTAGGGAAGACTGTTCCCTAGAGATGTTTTCTCAGTATATGCCAAAGACCATTTTTCGCAAAAGTTGTAACTTTTAGAAATGTCACAAAAAAATAAAGATTTTTTTTTCTCCATTTTACGTCTCTTTGGTTTTATTATAACATACGCGTAAATGTTCCTGTGTGACTGGATGTGATGTACAAGCCTCATAAAGTGAACAAAGACCTCCTATAGCTTCCATGATTAGTGACATGACAGTCCCTGGAAGGGCAGAGCTGTCTGTAGCGTACGCTGAGATTGACATCCTGGTTCCACCATCTCTACGCGGTGGATGACATAAGATGGGGAATAACTGGATCTCTGGTGAAAGACTGATGTTTGTTTGAGTGTGCATTAGTACATTTTGTAAGCCAAATAGTTAATTCATTAAGCCGAGATTTCTGTAAACAAAAGGGGCAAAGAATAGATTCCTTTCCTAGACTCTACATAATGTCCAATCATCTTAAAAAAACTAAAAAAAAAACCAAAGAATTGGTTGGCCTGCTGCGCTACACCATAACCTCTAGTGTAAAAAGGTTAATTTTATTTGAGCCATCTTGCAGTAGATATGATATAAAAAAAACAGATTGTCAGTTTTACAACACACCATACCCTGAATACCCTGGAGTCTAGTTTTATG